TGTTCGTGCTTCGTCATCACAGTGCTTTAAGACGTGTCTTACCCATACCGGGTCTGTGTTCATTCAGTATTCCTTTACTCTTGGTTTTGTTTCTCGGTGTGTGTGAGGATTGAGGTTTCTTTTCTATTCCTGCGTTGATTTAAGTCATTTAATTTTTTGCACCTTTCAGTTAATTTGTTGGTTAAGTGATTTCATTTAATATGATGCAGGGATTTATTGCAACCACCTACTAAGTATCTTGGTGCCTTTATATTCGCCTGTTGCTCTTCTCTTTAGCTCACACCGTCATCTCATCATATCTCTCTGCCTTCCTCTCGCTATTGTTTCTCTCTAATCTTTGTCGTCTCCATCTCCGTTTCTCCATCATGTCTTATGTTTTTACTTGGAAGTTGAGTGACCTTCATCCATCAGACACTTGCTGGGAGATCCGTGTTCGAGTGAATCGTGCTTTTTTGAAAACAGAGCTCGACATCTATGGAGCAGAGCGTGGTTGGCCGAAGAAGTTACTTTCACTTGACTTTATCTTAGTATGTGGAATGGCCTTAAAATTAAAAACTTCTCCTGGTGCTTTTGGGCTTCCTTGGCCCATTTCCTTATCCTTAAAGTTCATAGCTACACACGTAAATCTCCCTTTGTTTGACTTTTCTTCACCCACATACTTCACGTTTCTCGAAGACTGCCCCTCCAAACTCTCTTTATTCATTCATGACTTCCTTTGCTTTCTCGTTATCATTCCCTTTGTCTTCCTTTCTCCTCCACTCAGTTGTTGTAGCTTTTTTCTGGAAAGAGTTTCTTGTATTACTTGATCCAATGTCTTCTCCAATATCCGCCAAAATGTCAAATCTTGACGATGTAGCAGGTTTAGGTGAAGAGAAATGCTGCTTTTTCTGACCTTGTGGCCCTTGCGTCTGAGCCATCTGCCTCTCTGCGTCATGCCTGAACCACTTAGGTCTATAGGTTTTCTTTTAAAGCACCCATCCTCCATATTTTTCCTCCAACAGCACCAAAAATGGGTTAAACGGCCCTGAGTTCACCGGCAGTGATGATTGCGTCATCTTCTCCAGCATGTTTCTTTTAGTCTCCTCTGCTGTTGTTTCTTTTGCCACACTCCTCTCTCTTATGACCATACTGTCCACAATTAAAACAAATAATGTCTAATCCTTCATACATAACTATGAATACTTGTTTAAGGATGACAAATCTAGAAGACAATCTTTTATTAAGATCTACTTCCACACTTACTCGAGCAAACCTTCCTCTTTCCATCTTTGCCGACTGACCCCCTGTCTTCATTAATGTATTTCGGTCCACTGTTAACACCTTGCCAATCTTATTCCCCACCTCTCTAAGCATCTCCTCTGTATAGCAGTGCATTGGTAAAATAGGAATTCTAACCCAAATGGCCAATTTCTGTACCTTGGATCACCCATGGACCTTCATTGAGGAGTCTTGTTCGCATCTGTTTACTCTCTGACCGTAGAATAAAATAATTATTTGCCATGTCCACTGACTCGAAATCGGAAGATCCCAACCGTATTTCCAATCTCTTTCTCATCTCATCAAGCCTGAGCCTCTTCCCCATCAGCGTAATAATGATGGCGTCCTTCCACGGTAAGCATAGATTTTTCAACTGTTCATCTGGCATCGCAACCTTGGGTATTTGTTCGAATATTTTCTTTCGTTCTTCACTAAGAACAGGGGCTACTGCCTCTTCCTCCTTCAGCCACTCCTTGAACAAGGTTTCAAAATCTTCTTCAACCTCCATACTTTCATTGCCCATTAACAAATCTCTGTAAGAAATTTGAGACCATGGCTTATATTTCTCAGCATCAGGATTCTTGTGTTTTCTGGGCTTCCGCCTTAGCTTCAGACATTTCTACCTCCTTCGCAACAGGTATATCAGGATTCTTCATCCCTTCATGCAACTTGTTAATGCTACGTGCTAAAGCATCTTCTTCATCCTTAGTTAATCCACCACCTGGACCACCGGCCGACTGAGCCATGGGGGGCCCCCCACCAGTACTCGCTCTCTCACTCGTAAACGCACACGAAAGATCCTTTCTCAATTTTCACTAAATTTAATTGCACACAAATAGTTGACAGAGGGATCGCCTGAACTGGTATGTACATCAATAATAGCATTAGACTGCATGAATAATTTCTTCTCACCATGTACAGAAAAGGGTTCGCATGGATTTTCATTGTTAACTGCTCTGAGTGTCCACTGCTGTTGTAATGAGCATCGTCAGCATAGAGATCATCGACATCGTCCAAAACTTGAGTACTATCAGTTCGTTCACCATCCCTGTCTAGGAAAACCTCAACCAATAGTTGACTATTGATATCCTCAACTTCATCAATATCATCCAGCGGCTGAGTTTCACCAGCAAGAACAACTACCTGGGTTTCTAATGCATCTTCCACCGGAGCATTATCATAGAGCAGTATTGTGCTTTCTGAATACTGCCATGTACTATCGCCCCTGTCAATATATCTTCCACCTAAAATTTCATAACAAAAGCCTGTGAGAGAACCCGTTAAATTTGGCGTAGACTAAGAATTTTTCCAACTCCTAGATCGGAGGGTCGAACAAAAGGTTTGAGTATTTAGTATCATTATAGGACAAAAGAAATAGAATGATGAACGGTCCAAACAACCATGGAAAGGCATAAAACCTACATCCTTCCGGCATGTAGAAACTTCCAGATAAATTACTGATCCAAATGGGACCAAATGATATCATTACACTTGACAGCCATTACTTTTTCTCTTCAAAAAATTGTACGAGTTAGCACGACCTCAGTCAAAGAACTGATGAGCTAAAATAAACAAAATACTAAGAACTCACAAGGAGATGGAGATAATTGGCTGACAAATGACTCAGTCTCAAAACAGTTGACTTTCTACTCCTCTTGATCGATGTAGTTTCACCATCATCACTGTCCTGATAACCCATTTGTTTTGCCAGTGAAAAATCACAGGCAACAATCCAAGAAACCCAAACAAGGAAGTGAACATCACACCGAATCAACCATAACGCACATGAAGAAGCCGATTAAAAGAACAGAGAAATTAGGGTGACAAAACATCGGAGGCCGTGGGGGAAATGGATGGCAAAGTAATACATAAATATAATAAGGACTGGCGAACCGCGAACAATGTCTTTTGGAGGGAGAATTAACGTGGTTTCTGTGAAACAAATATAAATATAATCAATTCTATTTTCGGTAGAGAAGTTATACTGTCCAATGTCATTATCGTGCATTGTAGGGCGGTGCAAATGTTTTCTAATCGTATCTGGCTTAGTCCGACTCGAAATGATTTAATCATGTTCGGTATAAACACTAATCCTTCCGATGCAAAAAGATCAAAACAATCAGACACTAAATAAAAGATTGAACATCTGAATCACTTAGTCCAATTTACTCTTATTAATTTATTTAATATAATTATTTCATTTTTGACAAATGGTTAAAGTGTAATTAATGTTAAAGAGATGATTGTATAAAAATTTATTAAATTTATTTTTAAATTATTGTTGTAATGTAGTATTATTAAAATTTGTTGAGATTTTGTTGAAGTTATAGATTTAAACTGTTTGGACTATAACAGAAATATTTTTTTTCATTGTTGAAAATTATTATGAATTTATTATTATTATAAGTGTTTTGTTTTTGTTATTTTAATTGAGTTTATTAGGTTAAAAAAAATTATTGCCTCTCATAGAGGAAAAAAAATCAGTACTAGACTAATAGGATCAGTCTCCCAATCTTATGGATTAAATCCAGTCTTGTAAGTTTTCGAGTTATCATTAAACAAGACTAGACTATAATTTACCTAACTCAGTCCTTTTTATAAAAAAAATAGGACTTTAAGTTAGATTGAAATTCAGTGTCATCTCGTCCTTTGTGTAGCTCTAATGCAATGTAACTAGCCTCATGCATTGGTTTTTGGGAAATGACTATTAGGGATCCTAAGACCATTAATTACAATTAAGGGCCTAAATTATTGAAATCTTGATAATGAACTATGACTTTTATAAGGAATTAAAAATATATACAAGTTTATAAAATTGCTTAATTTCAGTTGAGAAACCAATGAACAATAGTTAGGAATGATTTGTTTTTTAATATGAAATTAAAATTTACTTTTGAAACTTTTTAGAGGTGCTTGTGAATGTATAATAATCACTCAAAAATTTACTAAAGTCACTTTTAAATATGAACCTAATAATGTGCAAATTTTTATATTTGTTAATATATAGGTAAATCATTTGAAAAATAAAAAAATATTATTGTTAAAATTACTATCATAGGATAAGAATATTATTAACTTGGTTGAGAAACTAAGGAACAACAGTTAAAAATGAATTATTTTTTATTATAAAACTAACATTTACTTTCAAAACTTTACAAGGGCATTTGTAATTATATAATAGTTACTTAAAAATTTATTAAAGTTACTTCTGAATATAAATTCAATTATTTGTAATTTTTTATGCTTGTTAATATATAGATAAACCACTTGAAAAAAAAATGATATTGTTGAAATTATTATGGGATGAAAATATAATCTTAATTGAAAAATCAAGGAACAATACTTAAGAATAAATTATTTTTCAATATAAAATTAAAATTCACTTTTAAAATTTTTTAAAGACACTTGTAAATATACAATAACTGCTTAAAAATTTATTGAAGTCATTTCTAAAAAATATTTTATACCATTTACATTTTTTAAAATTCTAAGTAAGAATCATGATCTATTACAAAATTTCAAAAATTTTAAACCCCAAATTTTAATCAATGAAGGTCCCTAATTGTCATCTTCCCTTCTCAAGAGTGGAGCTTGTGTGCCCTTAACACAAATGATCATTTATGCACACGAATAAATTTTATCTTAAATTTATAAGAGACTTTTATCAATACATGGAACACAGTAATACTCGATGTTCCAATATTGGGAAAACACTACGAATATTTCGGACGATGAATAATAACTGATGTCCAAATGGTGATAAAATAGGATATGAATCATATGACGAGGGATGTTCAACTTTATCTCCATTTCCATAACATCCGAGTCTCACTCATTGAAAACAAGACGATGAAGGCTGAAAAATAGAGATAACTTTTTCTTCATGACTCAAAAAGTCTAACGCCAACGGCACTTCCTCGTCTTACAAACCACAAGGTTATCTCACTGAGGGGGAGAAAAGAAAAGAAAAGAGAAGGCCACAAAATATGATTACTTCTAGCACGTACAACGACGTATGGTTGGTTAGACTTTCACCTGCATCTGTATCTCCTGGCCTATCTCTGATCAACTCATTGAAAAATGAGCGCAAAATGGATACAAACCTTAACTTCCCATATGGACATGGTCCACAATACCAACCAGCCGTGGCTTTCAAATCCTTCCAAAACAGCAATCTATTCAAGATTTACCGGCAAAGATGCAGGATCAAGTTCAAAAGTTCCTTTAGGGACGCCTACTCTTTCCTGACCAGTCATTTTAAAAGAAGGAATCCTATGGGAGAATCTAAACAACTCCGCCGATGGAATTTGAAATGAGTCCATATCACCCTTGTTAGCTCGAGAGAAGAGACTGACAAAACCTTTCACCTTCTCCAAGTATGCAACAGATACCCCCTCTCCTTCAACATAATCTGACAAAATTTCAACGAAGTCAAATTCATAATTCTGATGAGATTCCACATCAGTGTACCATTTGATATCCCAATTTTTAAATAGAGCCCAAGTTTCCCCCTTCCTAGGATAAACTTTAAAAGTACTGCGGTCAATCTTTTCACACAAAATCAGATGTGAGAACATTAGACGATCTTCAGTAATTTCAGTGTTGCCAAGCACATACTTCCCACAAGCAACTGGCAGATCATTTTCTACCCAGTCGATTTCATCCTTGTCATCTGGATCTGCTTCAAACCATGTTATTCGCAGCTTGAACCCAGGAGAGAGAACTTTCTTGATCAAAGCATAGAATCTCGGCATGCCATCAACTGTGTCATACACAGCCCAAATCTGTCCATTTACAAAACTATCTTCTTTCTTGTCCTTTTCAAAGTCACTGAACTCTGCATCAGGATAGACAAAAATGGTCGGAGCTTCTGCTGCTTCTCCAGTCCCCTTTGAGCACTGGTTTGCTTCTTTTCCCCTCCTGTCCAGAGTTTCCTCATTTCTCTTGTGTAAGCGCTCTTCAGAATAACGATTGTCTTTCTGTTTCACCTCTTTTTGCTCATCTTTCAGATCAGCAGCTGAGCCATTATCTTCTTCAGCACCATATGAACCACTTCCCTTGGCCCCTGTTGAGGGCTTTAAAAGGTCGTCGTCATCATCACTCCCATTCTCCTTATAAACAACCTGAGGCTTAGACCTTGTAGATCTACGCCGATGCTGTTCTCTACCAGTTGGATAGTTTTCACCAGGAACACCATCCCTGTCAACAACCATATCATCGTCATAATCATTGCTATCTAAGGAATCAGCACTTTCACTAGATTCTTCTGCTTTCTTCCTCTTTCTCTTTCTATTCGACTTATCAGAGAAGTTGGGGGCTCTTTCAGCATAAGGCTTTGTATTGAAGTTTCCAGCATTCATACCTTGAGATCCAACACTAGCACCATGATTTAAACCATCTCTTTGTTGGCTAAAAGCTTGACGACTTGAATTAGCTGCTATTGATGTACCTAGCACATATGCAACAAAGGGCCTATGACAAGTATGACAGGAAACAGATCTATTCACAGCTTCAAAGTGAAACTCATATCTACTAGAACAAAATGGGCAAGCAGTCCAAAATGTAGGGCGGCTACCATTTGGCCCCTGCTGTGTTGACTGCCTAGGCTGTTGCGGCTTCTGAGGATTCATGTTGGAAAAATTGGCCCTGACATTGTTTTGCACCCCAGCATTCACATGTGTATGAAACTTCTGTGCCGGATGATATTGCTTAGTAGTTCTGTTCATAGGAACTTTGTACTTCATGTCTAGTAGAGCTCGTTTATTCTTGTCCAAAAGAACTCTTTGAGCTTCCCCAATTAGCTTAAACGCAGCTTCTGCACCAGAAAACTTGTTCTTGTCAGGATGAAGTTGGAGGGCCAACTTCCTGTATTGTTTCTTTATCGTTGCCTCATCAGCTGACTGCCCAATTTGAAGAATTCCATACCAGTTCATCTCATTCCCAAACAATTTCTGCTCAGCAGAGCAATGCACGTCACACACAATAAGCATTTGAGCTATATTCTCCAGATCAGGATACAGTTGCTGGGCTTTAAGAGCAATTTTACGAGCCCCAGTGAAATCTTTACTTTCCATCTTCTTTTCAGCAATGATCTTGGCCCGTAAGGCCTCTTCTTTATTGCAGTCCATCAAAAATCCAGATTATGAAACTTCGAAGCAAGCTTTCTGGTCAAGTGCATTAGAAAACAAGCTACATTTAATCTATAACTTCTCTAGGAACAACCTAACCAAATAATTAGGAGTCCATATGAACCTTCCAGCAAACCACCAGTGCCCAAAATACAATATTTGCACTCCAGATAAACCCTGCAGATTTTGCATAACTTGCAACTATTAGATTCTACATTGACCAATATGTTGTAAGAGAATCAAGGAGTCATTTGTACTGCAACAGAATTCAGATGCCTCAGTATATTAGAAGATAAAAAAAGTTTTACATCTAAAGATTAGAAGATAGATCATAAACATAAAAGCTTAGGAAATATCTAATTAAATGGCTTAAGTTATTTTGATAGAGCATACTATCCTTAAATATTTAATATAAGAAATTTAACATGGTATCATGAGCGATTTGAACAGGGACCAAAAAGAAAAACCAAAAAAAGAGAAAAAAGGGGGAAAAATGAAAGAATGAAAGACGAAAAGACAATAGATAAAAAATGGGAGAGGGAAAAGGAGAAGGAGAAGAAGAAACTGAATAGACCTAAAAGAAAATGAAAGAGAGAGAGAGAGAGAGAGAGAGAGTAGTTGAGGGAACATCAAAACATAAAAGAAATCTCACATCTAAAGACTAGAAGATAGATGATAAATATATAACCTAAGAAATTATTTAACAAAATGACTTGAGCAATTTTGGTGGACTATGCTATCATTAAACATACTTAATATAAGAAATCTAATTATAACAAGAGCAGTGCAACCACAATATTTATAAGCTGTACTGTGATTTATAAGTAAAAAGGTCTTTTTTATCTGTGCAAATTTACCAGACACTGAACAAGCAAGATGCCAAAAGCAGACAAGATATAATAAAATCTTTTCTTCCATCAAACTCTGAGCAGGCCTAATCAGACAACATCGATAAGCTGTAACATCATTCGTAATTAAATAAAAAGGTCTTTTCTTTATGCCATTTCTTTCTACGAGGGAGAGGATTGGTCGTTCAGACCTTTAATCAAATCTCAACTGTTTCAGGCAGCCACAGGCACAAGACACATGCAAATGATTCAAACAATGACAATAAATAACCCTTTATTTTTACGTTGTAAGGAATCTCCCCCCATGGTAAAAAGAAAAAAAAAATTTATAGGCTCCATTTCAACAGGAGGATGACTCGGTTGCAACAAGTTTATGGTCAATGTTTTATGGAGTGAAGCACCCTTGATGTCAGGGGAAATCAACAAAATAAGCTTTTATTTTTCAGCCACAGACGGTCAGACTTTAGGCTCCACGGCTCACTAAGAAAAGAAGGCGCTATACGTTTATCAAAACTAGCAAAAAGAAAAAAAGAAAATGCAGACAACATCCAAGTTACAGGGGCAAAAGCCCGGTTCATTCTCAAGTGAGCAAACGGAAAACGACAGCGCAGGAACAAGTTTTACTCAAAAGCTTCAAAGAGAAAAACAGGAGCGATTATGCCGTTACAGTGAAGAAAGGCCTGGAAACAAAGGCATTCGTTTTCCCGTTAAGTGAAGAAAACACATTGGAGAATATGAATATGCGTGTGCGAAGAAATTTAAAACTATATTAGAACCCTAATTACGGCAAGCCTAACAATTAAATATCAGATAAAAAAAAAAAAAAAACGGAGCGATCTCAAGAGTAAGAGCGAGAGTGGGACAGAAAATGGGTTGTTATAGGAGAAGAGGAAAACTCACACTTGAGAGGGGAGGGAAGGAGGAAACCGGACGTTGAAGGTTCGGGAAGTGCCGGAACTGAAACAACAATTTTGACTTATTTCAGAAATGCCACCTAGTTGCCAAAGGGCTCAGGCGTCCGGAGTGTATCCTTGTTGAGCCGGTAGCGGCATCGGAGACCAAAATCAAGGTATTTATGATATAAGTACATGTGCCGATGAGAAAAAGCCCATGGGTCGGCTCGGCTCGGCTCAACTCAACCAGACCCATCCAATGACTTGGGCCAATAATGGTAACTTTATTTAAATTCCTTTATTTGGCCAATATAATTTCATAATTTGGGCTCCGGGTGAGTTGGGCTTAATTCATAATAAAAATTATACAATTATAGAATTCATTATTTGCCATCTATTAATGTTAATTTAGTTGATAAAAACGTGACTCATATGTCATGAGAATATAAGTTTGAATTTTATTGATAATCTCTTATAAAGTTAATTTTTATTTTGTGGTTTCATGAAACTTAATTTATGTAAACACTCCACTAAAAAAGAGTTTTATCTAACCATGTGAAAATATAAAACTCAAGGTTCTCTCTACTCATCTAGGTGAAGTAATTGAAAAGACTTAAAGGCCTATTTTGCATGCATCATTCCTAGACTGGAGAAGAATTATTGAAAAAAGAGTGTTAAAATATGTGGTTTTGGCATGATTGAAGTGGTTTTTCTAGAGATAGTTAGGATCGAACTTTCTTTTGGGAGCCTTCCATTAAGACTAAACCATCATGGTTATTTTACCCCTCCTATCTTACATCGCATTTGCTGAGGAACTCAATCATTCTCATATTCACTAGCCATTCTTTTGTCAAGATTTACCAATCTTATCACGTGAGCAACATGATAATCTAAGTATAGTTCATTATGTTGAACCTTTAGTCAAGTGTAATTGATAATTTTTTTATGGTAATATGACAAGATGACACTTTGGTTTCCTAAGTAGAGTCTAACAACAATTACATTGATAGCGTAATTGAATGAAGGTTCTAGTTTCAAACCATATTCAAAGGGGAACAAAGAGGTAGCTAAAATGTCTTTTGCTCTCGTCAAGTTTGGTTTGTAATGGTAATGGTGGTTTGTGGTGTTTGATCGTGGTAGTTCATAACCCCCTCTCTTCTCCACTTTTTCCCCAAGTCTTATATATATATATATATATATACGATTTACTAGTACTTAGATCAATTGATTTCATAAATTTTGTTTGATTTTTAGTGTTAGAATATTAGGGGTGATTAGTGTTAATCACCTAATTAGTTGGTATCCCTAAATCTATATAAAGGGATCATTTCATTGTATTGACTAAGGGGGTTTCATCCCACCTTCAAGGGAAAAGTTAACATAGGCCTTCTTCTCAAGTTAGTCCTTAAAGTGAGGTTTGAAAATCACCCAAGTGGGTATATTAGTGTGGTAAATTGTAACAACACGGCCCTCAACCCCTTACATTGGCGAATGCGGTGTTGGCACGTGTCCCCTCATAGACCCGCATGCGACTTTCCCTATGATTGTATATGGGTTATTCCTCACCCCATCAAAAAGATCTTTTAAAACCTATGGTAGGCCAAAGTTAGCCACAACTTCACTAAGGTAGGAGAGGTTGAGAGCTCGATCTTTGAAAAAGTTTTAAAAGACCTCTTTGATGGGGTGAAGAATAATCCATGTACTATTATGAGGAAATTCGCACGTGGGCCCGTGAGAAGACACGTACCAGCATCACATTCGCCAGTGTAAGGGGCTGGGAGCCGTGTTGTTGCATAAAAGGCACCCTTTATGTAATAAAGAAAAAGATTTGGGGGGCAAAGAGATATGAGTGTGACATGATTTTAAATCAAAAAATTGTGCATGTAAATTTATTGTCATTCATCATTATATAGCCATCTAATGCAGATATATGAAGAGAATGGAAATGCTAGGAGGAGCAGAGCTAGGATGGATATGTATTGATTGAGAAAAAGAGAAATAAGAAGAACATTGGTTTGATAGTATTGCATTACAGCCATATGTATATTGGTTCATAGCGGTGTAGTCTTTTAGTTTTCGAAGAATGAATATCATATAATGTTGAATAGTAAATAATATGTATATCATGTTTTTATTGGAAAAGCATGACAATAGAGATCTACAGAGAGTGCTGATGAAACCTAAATAATCTCAATGCAAGATGAGTTAATGTTAAATTTAATAGTTGATACACTCAAGCCTAATCCCTATAGCACTACGTTTACGAAGCCACATTTTCAACCTTACATATGAGTAACAGAGATTCATATTTTCAAATATCAGTATTTTAAATAAATAAATAAGTTTTAGTTTTCAAATACAAAATTGGCAAAATAATTGTGACTCGATCAGTAGTTCCAGCCAAATCAAATATCCCCAAGCTCAATTCCAATATAGAAAAGACAGAAACCAAGAAAATCTTTACTCTAAAAATAAACAGTATATATCATACAACCAATTTGGAAGCAAAATTAGTAGAAGCAAAATGTGGAAGAGGCAAAACCAGACAATTAACCTTAACCCTAAAAAATAGCTTGAACAAAAAAAGCTGACAAGACATAGAAGAGATAACAAAAATAAGATGCGGAAATGATAACGAACCTAATCTTTGCTTGGTCAAGGAAAGTACGCCAAGGAAGAGACAAATAGCTTGGTTGCAAGTGATCACTTAGGACAAGAAAAGATGTCGGACAGGACTAGAATAGAGACGACAAACAACTTTACTGAATAGCTCAAGGAAGAGACAACGAAGAGCTTTACTCGATTGTAATGGGGCAAGGAAGAGACGATGGACAGTGCAGGGAAGAGATGATGGACTGGTAATCACACAATAGGGTAAAGTAGAGAATGAGCAACCTTAAAATTTTACCAGCCAAATAAGGGTGTTTCAGTCATTTCTTATTATATTAAAATATCACTTAAGGATCCGAGAACTTAATTGATATTTCAAAATATCTTAAGACTTAATTATCATTTTTTTTAATTTTTTATTAACAACGTGACAAGATGACATTTAATAGCTTGAGTAGACTCCGACGATAGTGACATTAGATGAAATAATTAAATGAATGTTCTAATTCAAAACCACGTTCAAAGGAAAACAGTGGATTTTGGCTGTTGTCAAGTCCGGTTGGTGACAGTGATGGCAATTTCTGACGTTTGAAAATGGTGGTTCATGGTTCTTGTTGGCTCTTTCTTGCAGCAAATCCGGTTCTTCTCCGTTATTTTCTTTTGGATTTTGGACCTATCTAATCCATAAACTAATGGTTTTTGGATATTTGACTTCATAGTTTGGACACATTGGGTTTTTGAATATATTAATTTCATAATTTTTGCTTGATTTTTAGATTTATAAAATTAACAAAATTTCTTACACAACGGAAAAGATGGAAAATGGGGTTGAGAGGAAGAATAAAAAGTAGCGGCGTTATTGTCATTTAATATCTAAAAAATTTCGTTCTACCAATTTAATACATGTTTATATTAGGATTATATATACATAGATACATGTATCAAATATGCTTTTAAAGCTCATCTTCATTCTCTTTTCTACATACAAGTTCCTTTTTCTTTTATATCCCATTAAAAGTCCATTTATTATAATAACAAGGGGCTTAAATCTGAGAATAATGGAGGAAAATCGGTACTAGTGTTAGTTTTATTCCCTTTTTAAATTAAAGTCTTTCATTGTGCATAAAAATTAAAGCTTTTCATTAATTCTAATTTATTTCATGGGTGTTCGCTTGGCCCAATAAACATTTGATTATTTAACTAAATTACTTGTATCATCTTTAATCATGTTAAATTTTAAGAAAAATGACAAATAGGTCCTAAGGGACCAATTTAATTCAAAATAAATACCAAGACATTTATAAATATCAATAAAGTCCTATGGTCCTTAGACGATCATATTTTAAAAAGGAAATGACTTAAATATCATCTACAAAACACCTAACTAGATTGAACATTGGGGATTTGGGAATTTTAGTAACTAGATATGAGGAGAGATTCAAAGACAGAGCAAGGCGAGAACAAGAGAAAAAGGGAGTAAAGGAAAAAACCCAAGGGAGAAGCAAAGTGGGAGACAAATAAGAATACCAATTCAGATATATCTAAAAGCCTCAAAGAGCTTCAATGGGAGTGCATGGGTGGAGAAGGGAACAAATTCAAATAGAAGGTAATAAAATGGGTAATCAGGCTGCAAATCAAGGCATATGGAGTTGCAAATCAAAAAAAGTGAATTGTAAATCCAAAACGAATAGTTGATCATAAGAATAATCAATACTTAAATCATGTGTTTATAAATAAAATCGGGATACACAATTGCAAATCAAGGTAGATAGAATTGCAAATACAAAATAGTTAAGTTGCAAATTTTGGATTTGACTGAATAATCTCTCAAAAAATGTTCCTAAAAAAATTTTAACAATCAAGTTGCAAACCAAGATAAATGAAGTTACAAATAAAAGAAAGTGCATTGCAATCTTGGCATTGAACAAATGATTTTTCAAATAATGAAGTTTTGTTTTGTTATTAAAATTGATAAAATGAGTTGCAAATTAAGAATCACAAAGTTACAAATTCTAGATTTCAAGTTGCAAATTCTTGGAAGTGAACAAATAATGACTTACTTCGTCACAAATTTAATCATTAAATTTTGTGTTGCTAACTAAAATTAAAAAAATAAGTTGCAAATTAACAACCATAAATTTGCAAATTCTGGATTTCTGGATTTCAAGTTCTAAATTCTTGGAAGTGAATAAATAATAACTTATTTCATCTCAAATTTAGTCATTAAGTTTTGTGTTTCTAGTTAAAATTGAAAAAAATGAATTATAAATTGAAGAAGACGAAGTTGCAAATTCAGAATTTGCAACTTAACATAAAATTCCTTAATTTATAAGTAAGGTTCCTGTAATCACGTCTTAGGGATTTGCAACAGGTGTTCCTCTTTTTTGCATTGAATATAACATACACACATACATGTTCATTTAGAGAGAAAGCTTCATTTTTTTTTATTTTTTTGCAAACAGAATAGAGAAAGCTTTATTCAAACAACGAAGCTTTCATTACAATAGAATCACATTACATTATCGGCTTAAAAACAACATTACAATATGTTATACATATTAATACAGCTTCAAATATCAATACAAATCATGAGTTATGGAGTCTCCATTTCAGCTCCAGTTTGGTCCTCCTTCCCCCAAGCTCGAGCAATGAGGCTGGTCTCCTTTTTAAACCTGACTCAAGATGGTGGGGTGGGCCACAGACTTGTAATCCATTAGACCCCCTCTAGCAGTATTAAGTCTGAAGTCTTCATTATTAATGTTATGTCTCCCACCAGAACAGTTCAAGTCTGACATAATCTCATAGACTTTACATTCTTCAATATGCAACCTTATCTCTTAAACTTCCTTTCATGACAGTCACAAGACGAAAATGGGAAGGGAAAGGGCATTACACAAAACGAAAAACAACTAGAGATACCAATCACTGGTATCATGGACAAACACATAACTCAGAAATTGGGAACAAGTAAGGTTTTGAAAACTATCTTTAAAAAGTATTTTCCAAGGGCAACGTTGCCTATGGTTGGCAACCATAAAATGTTTTCGTAAACTTGGTGCCATTCCATGTTCAACTAAGCATGAAGACTATGAAGTTAAGGTAATCAAACATAATATTAACAAGACATGGAATTGTATCCAAATAGGATGTGTTACAACTAATTTTTGCAGTAACAATTTTCGCAGCATGGTATTGTATTGCAGAATTGTATATCTATAATACTCAGTGGAGAGCAATAAGGTAGCATGCAAAATAAGATTCATACCTATGTTGATGTTGCTGGCATCGTAGAAACATTGCCATCTACGCTCCCCATTAATTGTACAAGGAAAATAAAATGAAAAAGAACCAATAAGAGACTTCAGTGATTTAATTTAAAAAGAAAGAATAAATAAGAATTTAGAAAGACTTAGCCTTCAAACTGAATCTGAAAGCAGCAAGAGACAATGATGGCTGCATCGTTTTGCAAGGTTTCAGTAATACATAACAGATAACACAAAACTTATGATGATTTAAAAAAAAAAAAAATCAACTTTTCTAGAATAAAAATTACATGCCATATCAAACGCAAACCTCAATAATCCATAGCAGTAGTGAACTTGGCATTTTCCTTGATAATCTAACCACAGATTAGATTTACAATCCAAAAATTAATTTCACAAATCAAAATAAAACATTTCCAACAAGCACTTAGTTTCATTGTGGATTTGGAGAAGAAGTGAGGAAGAATCAAATGATTGCTAAAGACGACGAAGAAGAATAAAATACCTCTTGAATAATGTGCATACAAATCATTTGATTCGGAACATGAATCCAACGCCATGCAACGCTTGCTCCTGACAATGATTTGATAGAATCATGGAATGGATTTGGCTTCCTCTCCTCCCCAAGGTTTGGAACATCCCTCGCGCTTGAAAATGAACGCTCACGATTTCACCATCTAAGGTGTGTTCAAGTCATTTTATTTTAAGCAAATAATGACCTAAGGGACCGATCACCGATAGGACTTTACTAGTATTTTGAATTGTATTGAGACTTATCCTAAATAAAATTGGTCAGATCTATTTGTCATTCTCCCAAAATTTCAAACATCTTTGCATGGATTATGGGGCAAAGGCTCAACAAAAACAATTAAAAACCCTTTTTTAATCATCAAAATCAATACAAATTTCTATTGAATTATTCAAAATTATAAAAATTTATCTATTTTTCAAATATACAACTTTGTTAAAAATAAAAAGTTATTTATTTTTAACAAAACTCAGAAAATTTATGTATAATTTATTTTTAGTTTCAATAAAAATGTCCACAAATTTTGAAAATAAAAAATATATATAATTTTAGCAAAATCCATAAATGTTTTTGTAATTGACTTTTTTCCCCAAAGAAACGTATAAATTTTTTAAAATGTGCATGCTATAATTTGTCCTAAATTTTCACAATAAAAACCATACTCAAACTTTATTTTTATTATTTAGAGATGAAATATTTATTAATTTAATCAGTCACATATAATTTTTCTAATTTAATACCTCACATATAATAGTTATTTATGTTACTCACTAGTTCATAATAAATGAAATTAACAGAAATAATGATATATAAATTTTTTTTGCTGACATCCCTTTCGCGTTTCCGCTTTCCGTAGAGGTTTTACTTATCCCTATGACATCCTTACTGCGTACTGCGTGCTTGAACTAGTTCCAGTCTTCTTAAGTTATTCCTGACCTAATTTTAGTTATATTTTTTCTTTGCTTTTGGTATTATTTCCCAGTAATTAGGCTAAGCGAAGGTCCAATTTTCATGGCAACTTAGAAAATTAAAAAATGCAACAGAATTTGGGGGGGCGGGGGAATAGAGACCAAGTTTATGTCGGCAATACATCTGTAATTGTCCAAGAACCCTTTAAAAAAAAAAAAGAAATCACCCAATGACATTTGTTCTATCAGAAGACACTGAGAACTGCAGCAAATCTCTATGAACTAAAAGCAAGTGGCACGATATTCGAATGACCACAAATTGTGCAAATAATTCTTTTTTTAAAAAAAAAAATGAGGCTTATTCTATTTGCAGGTTCATGTTTCACAACCCACATGCTCTGACACGCAACAATGGATGCAAGCAGCACTGACCTTCCAGCATCGTGAGATATAACGAAAATCTGTATGCCAAAACCCTCAGCTTTTTCACATGTTGACTGGCACTATTGAACTCATCCTAATGCATAAACAGAAATTATGAGAAAGACCATTAGACATAAACCTAGTTAATAAGATCTGCGGTCATAGCTCAAGATATTGCATAAAACACAGAAAATACAAATTCTCAAACAGATATAAGATACATCAATGGAGGTAGCTACATAAGAAGCACTATGCATTATTTACTATTACAGTGACTTTGAGAGCAAAAAACTAATTAGTGCTTCTCAAAAAGACGAAAAAAAAAAATCAATTTTCTTAGAAAGTAGAGGAAAATGGAAGTCGTAGCATATACTGATCACAAGTAATTTAAAAGCCAGAGAAGCAATCATATCCACCACTAATTTCCATTCCAAAACAAAGTCAACCCAATTGGATGAAGTGGAATACTAGAACTTGAAAACGTGGTGAAACATGGTCAATTGTGGTTGAGTCTTGCGAACCTCATTGGTAGTCTGCCAAAATTTTTCTGAAAAGCTCCTCAGGTGCTGCACATGCAAAATGGAGTTACAAAAAGAAAATAAGACATCCAAACAAATCAGATCAAATAAGGGTGAAAAGGTAACTTTGAACTTAGTTCGCTAAACCTACATATTCAACTTACCTGGCAATCCAGTAAATTTCTCATACTGTTCACAAGCCTGTCCTAAAAACATCTCCAATCCTGTTACAATAGTAGCTCCCGACTCTCCAGCTTCCTTCAACAGTCTAGTCATTTTGGGGGTGTAGACGGCATCAAAAACCAGGGAGTAATACTTCAAAGCATGCTGCAAATAAGTGTGGTATTTTGAGAGAGAAAAAGTGTATTTCTCATTCTGTGTATTCTAATGTACAAACTGAAGCTATATATACACATCAAGTGAGGTAAAACCTAATAAATACTAATAAAGCCTAATAATAACAATAAATGCTAATTATTTACAATAATGACATGATATTCCCATACTCCCTCTCAAATTGGATTATAAATGTTAATCATGTCCAACTTGCTTATATAACTCTCAAAGGTAGGCTTAGGTAGTCCTTTGGTGAGCACATCAACAACTTGTAACTTGATAGGTAGGCATGTCAAACATACAATGCTTTCCTCTACTCTCTCTGATAAAATGCCTATCCACTTCTTCAAGCTTGGATCTCTCGTGTTGTATAGGATTCAACGCCATGCTTATGGCAACCTTGTTGTCACAATACAACTTCACTAGTGGATCAATTCTGACCTGTATTTCTTCCATAACCCTTCTTATCCATAGCTCTTCTATGATTCCTTGTGCTAATGCTCTCAATTCTGATTTAGCACTGCTTCTGGATACAACTCTTTGTTTTTGACTTTTCCAAGTTACTAGGTTTCCCCACACAAACGAGCAATAGCTAGAGGTGGATATCTTGTCTCCATAGGTCCCCCCAGTCTGCACCTGCATGGATCTCAATCGTCCTCTAATGATGCCTCTTGAATAGCAATCCCTTATATATATAGCTTGCATGTGTTTCTTCCTTAGATCACACATGTATTGACTTGCTACACTGATAGCAAAAGCAATATTTGGCCTTGTATGGGATAGATAAATCAACTTTCCAACTAATCTCTGATATTTGTCTTTATCAACCGTTTCTTTTTTTTCATTGTCTTCTTCTTCTTCTTCAACCTCATTATTAGAGTTGTCTTCTCCTTCTAACTCCTCCTTCCTATCTTTCTTCTTTCTGGAGACCACAATAGGAGTTTCCTCAGGTTTACAACCTAACATGCCAGTTTCCTTGAGAAGATCAAGTACGTACTTCCTTTGAGATATATATATGCCTTGTTTTGACCTTGCAACTTCCATCCCAAGAAAGTACTTCAAGTTCTCGAGATCCTTGACTTCAAATTCCTTACCAAAGATAGTATTTATCCTTGCTATTTCCTCAACATGGTCTCCTGTAAGAATTATATCGTCTACATACACAATAAGGATGCACTTCTTAGCTCTCTCAGCCTTAACAAACATCATATGATCTAATAATCCTTGTTTGAAACCTTCTAACTTCAGGACCTTTGAAAACCTATCAAAGTAGGTGACTGTTTCAAGCCATACAGGGATTTTTTCAGCCAGCATACTTTGTTGCTTTTGCCTTTATCAAACCCGAAGATAGAGTCATAAGACTTCTTCCTTCAATTCTTCGTTTAGAAAGGCATTTTTGATATCTAGTTGATGAAGTTGCCATTCAAGGTTGGCTGCTACTAACAATAAAATTTTGATAGTGTTTAGTTTTGCCATTGGTGCAAACGTCTCGTTGTAATCTATACCATATATCTGGGTGAAACCCCTTGCTATTAACTGTGCCTTTAACTTGTCAAGTATGCTATTAGCCTTATACTTTGCGGTAAAGACCTACTTGCAACTAACCAGTTTCTTAACTTTAGGTCTCTCAACAATCTCTCATGTTCTATTTTCCTCCAAAGCTCTCATTTCCTCCATGGCTGCATTTCTCCATTCTGATATTTACAGTGCCTCTTTGATGCTGTTAGGAATAACAACTTTATCCAAATTAGTGATGAAGGCCCGATAACTAGGAGAGAGAGCCTTGTAGGATGCATGCTTTTAAATCGGATGTAAAGTACAAGTCCAAGGTTGTTTCCGAATAGCAATAGAAAGATCAAGTTCAGCAGATTCACTTCCTTGTTCTGAATCCTATGGCTTTACTAGATGGATCAATCCTTGATACTTCAGCTTCAAGAACTATATCTGGTTCTAACTCTCTTGGTGCCTCAAATACAAATTTCTCACTATCTTTTGATTTTTTCTTTCAAGTGTAAACCAATAACTCTTCCTTTTGTGGTCTTTTTACATCTCCTTGTGTTTTCTTGTTTTCCTAAAACTTTGGCATAAGAGAAGAAGTTGGTGAAGGTAGGGTGTTTGACGGAAAAGATGGTGAAGGTAATGATTCTAGTGAGGGCTCAAGAAGTACATATTTTGTATAAGGTGCTGGTTCTCAAGTCTAAGATTCACCTACACTCTCCCTTTGGATTGAAGAATTGCAATAAAAGGGAGTTTCTTCATGAAAGGTAACATCAAGGCTTACAAGGGTGCGTTTAGAAACAAAATCAAAACATTTGTATCTTTTCTAAGTAGGAAAATAGCCAAGAAAGATGCACTTGATAGCTTGAGGTTCGAGTTTACTGTTTTGGTGGATATGAACAAAGGCTGTGCAACCAAATACCCGAAGCAGAAGTTTGGTTTCAATATGGGATGTAGGAAAAACACTATGCAATTTTTGAAGAAGAGTTTCAGAGGATAAGATTCGACTAGGCTTTTGATTAATGAGATAGGTCGCAGATAAAATGGCATCCCCGGAATAAAACTTTGGCACATTGCAAGTGAACATGAATGCTCTTGCAACTTCAAGGATATGTCTATTTTTTCTTCTGTAGCCCCCTTTTGTTGAGGTGTATAGACACGAATACTTGTATGGACAATACCATGCATCTGGAGGGAATGACTCAAAGACTGGTTGAAGTGCTCAGTGCCATTATCAGTGTGTAAGACTTGGATGCTAGCATTGAATTGGTTTTTGATCATGGTGAAAAAACTCATGAATGTAGATGCAGCCTCAAACTTATTCTTTAACAGATAAACTCAACAAATACGAGTATGCTCATTAATGAAGAAAATGAATCATTTTGTTTGAGTACAGTTTAGAGTACGAGATGGCCCCCAAAGGTCATTGTGAATGATTGTGAAAGGTTGGTGGGTGTGTATTTTTGGCTCTAGGAAAGGAAGTTAGATGGTGTTTGGCAAGTTCACACACCTCACACCGGATTTCACTATAATTCAGCTTACGGCATAAAGTTGGAAACAATCGTTGAAGGTGGTGAAAATTAAGATGACCCATCCTCTTATGCCATAACATAAAATTATTAATGTTAGAGGTAAACATAGAATTACCAACAATAGGTGAGTTATCCACTCGAGTGACGACCTCTAAATAATACAGCCCCTCATGCTCCTTGGCACTGTCGGCTGTCACACCAAATGATAGGTCCTGAAACACATAATGGGATAGGGAAATTAAACAAAACAATTTGACTGCCCGGTCAATTGACTGATTGAAAGCAAATTGCATTCAAGCTTTGGCACATGGAGAACAGATTCCAAAACAATAGAATCTGATATATGGATACTCCCTTTCCCCGCCATAGGTGCTAAGGTGCTAACAATTGATGATAGTTAGTCATATGATCGAATGCCCCGGAATCCACAATCCACACCACTGCACTTCGAGTTGTCTTTAAAGCTTGAAGAAAGGAACCTTTTTTTTGCCACTAATGCCATAGGTGTAGTTCTGGAAAAAATAGCCACAACACTATAGAAGAGTATACATAGCACTTCAAATAAGGGGAAGACTTCATAATAGATTGAAAATAAAAGCCACAACCCAATAGAACTCCAAACCCAACAAACAAGGCACAAACAACACCATATGGACTGATATGGTTTGAAAACAATGTACCCATACATTGGATTGTCTTGGATCTGGCTAGAGAGAGTGCATCGTCGCCGTCTGAGGAGATCAGATCCTGAACGAAGCTAACAAGTGCTGCCAGAAGCTTGCTGACGCAGATCGTAGGGGTGGCATGTGTGGTCCACACGCACTGCCGTTCGCCATTGCCGTCCTAGGTTTCACCGTTCAAAGCCTCCTAAGTACATCTAGGGTGGCGGTGAGATTCAAAACTCGCTCTACCATTGTCCACACAGATGCCCTCACATATTGTTCAGAAAGTCTCATTCCAGCCATTCCAGAACTAACCTAATTTTAATTTTTGAGCCTGATGCTTTGATAACATGTGGTATTTTGAGAGAGAGAAAGTGTATTTCTTATTCATGTGTGTTCTAATGTACAAACTGAAGTTATATATACATACACACATCAAGTGAGGTAAAACCTAATAAATGCTAATAAATCCTAATAATGACAATAAATGCTAATTATTCACAATAATGATACTGTATTCCCACAATAAGTAAATTTAAATAGTTAGACAGATTTGATTTTCTGGCCTTCAATTGTACTCATGTTCAATAGCAAGAGATTTGAGTGCCTTCATGCTAACATTTGACGGTTTAACTCATCCAGAACAAAAAAACCATGTCCCAAATATCTCAATGCCTATAATTTATACATCCTAAATTTCTTTTTACCACCACAAAACTTAAAAGTTGTATTATTTATACTCATCTTTCTCAATCTCTATCAGAAAATGAGACTTCTAATGGCGCATCAAAAAATTCTTTGCATCGAGAAAGACAAAAAATTTATACTGTCAACTTGATAAGAGGTGAGTTAGTAGTGGTTTGGTGGTTAAATAGGGAGATCAAATCATACTACATGTGTGAAAGCGATCTTAAGTGGGTACTGGATGAGTGGTCTCATGGGTGGATGCCAGCTATCATCAATAGTCAATACATGGGTCTACACTTTGATTAACAGGGCCTATATCATTTGTATGAGCCTAATAAAGAAGGAATTTCTTAACTGGGCTTTAATCACTCAATTCTTCCCTATCTACTCATTTGTTTTGATGGGATGCAGAGGAGGATTGATCAAAATGCTCTTGGGGTCAGATCTGATTCAATTGCTTCCAATTATTCCAGCACCAAACAGTTAAGTAGCGGCTTTAAGAGTTTAATGCCTAAGTTCCTATGTGTAATTCTTATAAGTTGTACCCTTCTAATGCCGTACTTGACCCTTGAGGGCACAGGTTTCTTGGGAAGGGGGTATCATTATGTAAATATAATAAGAGAAAGTCAGCAGGTTAGCAAAGGGCATAATAGACAGTTAGGAATGTTAGTGAGCCAACGGCTACACAAGGGTTAGGGGCTATTGTAATCAGATGATCTGAAATTATCGAATGAAATTGGGTTTTGAATCTCTTGTCCTCTGTTTCTCTCTCTCATCTCTCTCCCTTTCTCTTTCATGCTCCCTTTGATTACCTTCCTTTCTCTCTCTTTCTTATTATAACTCTATATCAGAGTGCCACTTTTAACTTGCCTAACATAGCCAGGTCATCATAAAATGAATTAACAAGGGAGTAGGACTAATCTCACAATATTCAAAGACAACAAAATACAATGAACGTACATATCACGCATGATACCTGAAGAGAAAGGTAACAAAAGTATGCATTTTCACAATCAATAACCATATTTTAATAAAGCAAAAGGCTGATACAGCCTAGAAAATTTTGGCCATATATAATAGCTGACCACTGATAAGATTCAAAACTTCTGATACGAAGATTTTAATAACCTAATTGATATAAGAAAGCAACATATCAAAAAGGTGAAACCTTAGATATTGGTGTTTCATCAACTTTTGGTTGCATTCCGATTGATGTTGTGTTGGCTAGAATCATGCCATCCTCCGGGTGATAATTATCCAAGTCAGCAAGGGCTAGAGCTTCTCCTCCGATCATATCAGCGAGTTCTCTGGCACGATCTATGCATAAATAATACACCAGCCTAAATAATACAATTGAAGATAGGGAGGTAATAGATAGCAGCTGTGTTTGTCAGAAAACCTACATAATTAATGCACAGGGGCAAGAAACGTGGTGTTTTAGAGCATTACAAACTTGAAGACAAAACTTGTGATGGAGCTTGGACAGAACAATATTAAGGGTTAAAGTGCAAATCTACCTTTGAAGTTTTCACACAAGCGCACCTAATTTCCATAAGTGTTTTTGATGAAATGTCGCTCCAACATTTTTTAATTTGGTACAATGTTGCCTTACTGATAGGGTTTAGTTACATTGACCGTTAAGAATGGTGAGTCACTTGGATCAACATTTCTGGATTTAGAAGGAAGACATCCGAATGGATGTTATTGGAAAGTTGATGATTTGCTTGAACTTAGAGATGGTGAGGTTGGTGATTGGGATATAATCGAGAGGGCAGGGATGATCAAATGGAAGGGAAGATGATAAAGACTTGGTAGTATGAGATACCAAGTCCCACATTGAGTAATATAGAATGCTCAATAGAGTATATAAGTAGGTTGGTTCTCCCACTTCAACAGCTCGCCATTGAGGTAGGGTTTTCCGTCTCACTTAGGTACCCATCAATTGGTATCAAAGCCTCGGTGTCGGCAATTCCAGAGAGGGCTACCCACAAAGGGTTCTAACGAAAGGAGACCGAGTCAAGTGCCATGGAGTGTAGCCGTCAAGACGTCGGCTTTCCATAGGGGCCAATTGATAAAGACTTTATAGTATGGGATACCAAGTCCCACATTGAGTAATATGGGATGCTCAATGAAGTATATAAGTGGGTTGGTTCTCCCACTTTAATAACTAGCTTTTGGGGTAAGGTTCTCCATCTTACTTAGGTACCCATCAGAAGAGAAGGTAGAAGCTAGAGAAAAGGTAAGTAGCAAAGAAGGAAGAAATTTTAATCCACATAGGCAAGCCTTGTAAGCATTAACAGGTCAACCAACAGTCAATGCAGTCAAACCTAATAGCAGGGCAACACTGTACCAAATTAAAAAAATGTTAAGGTGACATTGTGACAAAAAATCTTCATATCAGGTACCCTTGCATGGAAACTTCAGAGGTAGATTTGTACCTTAACCAATATTATTAAAAACTCCTACCACACGCAGAATACAAATCTTGCTTATGCAATACATTTGCACACAACCCTGAAAAATGCATACCCTGCCCTCACATTCTCTCTCCTTCAAGCAACAGTGTTTTGTGACAACTGGTCCACTTTGGCCCTCTTGCTAGGGTCTTTGAGCAAGTTAATCATATAAAGTTGGCAAACGGTCCTCTTGGGTCTATCAAATTGAAAAGGATGACTTGTTGATATTTGCAAAATGAAAAAAAAATTGTCTTCCCATGCCGATGACAGAGTGTTTCATGCAGGACATTGCAAATTGTGAAGGTTACCATAGGTGCGGTTGGTAATCACAACCCTTGCTCCTTTTTCTTTTGCACCATAAGCAAGTGCCTTCCCAGCACCACCAGCTCCAATCACAACGAACAGCTTACCTGCTAATGGTGAAGCAGCTGTCTTGCTATGATCCTTAGCTGCCAAGAAATTGTCATTGTCAAAAGAATACTTACCAAAAACAATGACAACAACAGATGATTAGACAATAAATGTAACAAAGACCTCGTAGACCATCCTCAATGGAAGAAATGGCACCAACATAATCTGTATTATATCCAATCAACTTCCCATCAGTAGATCTCTTTACAATGCAATTCACTGCTCCTATTGACTGCACGTAAACAATTTAAAAAATTTATATACAAAAGCAGCAAGTTAAAAGCTAATCATACACTGATCCAAGATTGTCAGACAGGTGCTTTATAATGTGAGATCAATATCAAATACCTTAGCCACTGGGTCAACCTCATCACAGCACTTAAGTGCAGCTTCCTTGTGAGGAATGGTAACACTGAAATAAAATTCTGATAAAGATCAAATTCTAGTTGGTCGTGAAAGTTTAAATTCTCTAGAACACTGAGGTAGATGATAAAGGAATGCTTATCTGCCTGCCTGCATAAACATAATATGTGGGTATATATAATGCATGTACGCATGCATGCATGAATGGATGCAGTTCAATAGAATGACAATAGTGTCATAAAAGATGTACACTCCAACTAAAGCACACCCTGTGCAGCCTGAAAATTTGTTAAAAGAAAAAAATGCCTTCAATGCTTAACGGTTTATGTAAGACAACATAAATCAAGAATTAAAAATTGAAAACTTTACATCAAATCACTAAACAAACTTGTGCAAAAAACCTAAGAAGAATTCACATCCTCGACACATCCTCATTGGCATTACCCAATCAATGCTAGAGACAATAAATTACCTCAATAACTATTTTTAGGATTAAAATGTTGGTCAGTATACTGCTACCAGCGGAACCAGATTTTAACAACCCCAACCCACTAAGAAAAAGGACTACATAAATATCTTACTCATCATACACTATTCTTCAGCAAACCCATGGAAGGTGACTAGCAGTTAAAAGGATTAGAAACTGATGCCATGGTGTAACCATGGCAGAAAAATAAGCAGCATCAAACATTAGATGACGGAAGTCAGTACCTGAATCCTACAAAATCAGTGGATGAGTAAGTCCGGAGAAAGTTGGCAAGGTCATCAACCAGTAAATGAACGTAAACAGCATCAAAACCTATTGATTTGAAGGCTTCATTATACAATATGGGTGATTTGCTGTGGCTGACTGGCTTTCCAATAATGCCGAGTACTTTTGTATCAGGACCCACTCGTCTGAAATTGTATAGATGCAGCAGATCCTTAATGGTTGGTTGACCAGGAGCTGAAACTAGTCCAGCCTCAAGGGTGCCAAAAGTGAGATACCCGCCAAATTTTGCACAAAGTATACGTGAAATTAAGCCCTTATCACCCATAACAAGTGCAATAATTGGAACCTGAAATTTTCATTAATTATAATATCTTCCACGTGAGACCAAACCCAGATTGCTCTCCATCAATGACAAGAAATTCAGTTCCTAACAACCTTTGAAGCATTATCCTACAATAATAACTCCATTAATGCATTAGGTCAACAGCTTATAGAAATCAGGGAAATTAGTTTGCAAACTAGATAGCTTGTTCAAAGCGTAGTTTATTAGGAAAATTCATAAAAAAAAGAAAAACATGTCCTGCAAAATTCTGAAATACCATCAGTTCAGTCTTCTTTCAGATAGCTAACATGATATGTTAGAAACAACAAAAATATTATTTTTAAAGTTTATCACATTATATGTATCAACCATGGACCAAAATTTTACATACGTGGCTTACTTGAGAATGTGTTGTTATTTGAAAAATGCGTGCTACATCAGTGATATCCAAGGCAGTTGTTGCAAACTTCACAATGTCTGCCCCGGTTGCTTGTATCTCTGCCACAAGGTTGGCAAGATCCTCAACTGATGGAGTGTATTGGTAGTTGTGTGATGAAACAATAACCTTGGTTTTGTTGAGTTCTTTTCCACGTATGGAGTCATAGAACTGACGAGCAACCTTTGGAGATGCAAAAGAAACCAAAAAGAAGCATCATTAATTTTTAGACGTCAGTCAGCCAATAATGTGAAGACAGTGTCTGGATTTGTCAAATGAGATAAAAGAGCTAAAATGTTAGGTAAGGATTAGTGCTTTGCCAATTCACCACCTTACATATCTACACGCAGCCTTGATCACCAATGTAGGAAGAAGTTAAAGGCATTTATCTAGCAGAAGAATTCCCTAAGAAAAGCTTATTACTCAATGGGATACAGGTTTCTTACAGCATCATAAGGATGATTGACTGATTTGTAAATCACGGAACCAGTAAACTAACAGCATAGCTCATGAAGAATACAAAGAATGGTATATATATCTTAAACAAAGCAAGTAAAATTCAACTGTAACTGTATTTAATCCATATCTTACAGCCCTAGTGACCAAACCATGATACTATAATCAGAATTTTTTTACTTGTATTTTTAGAATTATCAGATCAATTGAACCAACCAAACTTTTCTGCCTCTCCAGACAATTTCTCATAGCACATTAAAAAAATATTTTGGTTTATACATCATATATCGATACTGTTGGAGCCATATTAGAATGGTTTAGCAACATTATCAAAGGAATCCTCACCTTAAGTTCAATGTCGATATAATCAGCTCCTAACTCAATGGCTAATCGTAATGCATCCAATCGCTTGTTTTCATCGCCATTATACATGCCACCTTCCCAGTTTGGCCTTGAAGAACATAAAGTTAGAGTGGTTGAGAAAACAAGAATCCCACACTCAAGCCAGCAATTTTATATCTACGGCTAAAATCTAGGAAGAACAAATTTAAACAGCATTAACAGAGCATGGTAGATAAATTTAAACAATCACTTTTAGATATTTGAAATTAAAAAAAGAAAATAAAGAAATGGGTTCACAAGAAAAAGGATTAACTACCTCGACTCTGTAACACTCAACACAAATAACTAAAGGCCTCCAAAAACTGTAATTAAAAGAAAATGTTGACCAACTCAAGTGAAAATACTACTGTAAGTAACACCAATACCCAAGCAAAGCATCTGAGAATTTGGCTCTTGGCAAGTAGAATACTTTCTGCACCCTAATAAATCCACATTTGCCTCACCTTTCTTTTACTTTTGTTTTCCGAATACCAAAGTAAGGCTTTGTGGAGAACCTAGAGAGAGTCACCATTTTACATTTAAGCCAGACGGTACAAAGTAATCTTCATAGGTAGCAACAATTAAAAGAAGTCTGCAATGATGCTGCCGCAAGTGACCACTGACGAATTCTATATACTCTCCTATCACAACTGAAGGCTAATGTTCTACCATTTAAATAGCTTTGGTCTATATTACGCTAGTCCTTGGATTTTTCTCCTCTCAGGAAAAGAGAGTGAATTCGTTATCTAAACTGGTAATGCCAATCAACTACTCAGACATGGCATACATCAGAATAGATATAAGAGTAATAGAAATCCACTTTGCCAAACCTATAAGTAAATATTGCCGGCAAAGGACGCTCTTTAATTAGAGAGTTCAAATCTTCAATATGGTAGAAGTTCTTCAAAGAGTCTAATCGTATTTCAACAAGGTCAGCACCACTAGCTTTAGCCTTGCGCATATCAATCTTCATCTCGTCAACTGACTCTCCCATTATAGGGACACAAATTAAGGTTCCATTCTTCCTTGTTCCTTCTTCACTTACCATTTGACCGTAAGTAGAAGATGCAAGCTGAAACCACCAAAACAACAACAAAAAACGCAGAGGCAATAATCATAAGACAAGCCATGGTTATAAATAGCTAAATCCAATTTGCTCAACATAGTGTCAGAACAAAGCACGCATCAAAAAACAAAACTTTGCAATTAAATTCACCTCAATTAAAACATCCATACTCAAACAACTTGGAAGATTTAATTTTCAGCAGATTTAGCGAAACAGTGACATGCAAAGAAAAATCAACATGGAAATTTTTTTTCTTTTAATATACAAATTGCTTCTCCTAAATCCCCGGCAGAAAATTGAATCATCTCTGGAACCAACCAGAAAACAAATAAACAAAGAAGGGTGTGAGCCAGATGGAATTACCTCCATTGCGCCTTGTTTGACACCGTGGCGCGTGGAAGGCTGTTCCAGAAAATATGGAGTAGGCGGGGAAGCTGTGCTCTGATGAATCTGGATACCTGGTGGCCACTCACGCGGTGACGCGCCTCAGTGATCGGTTTCAACTTCCACCAAGTTTTGGTTGGTGGCGTTGGTATCTCGAAAAGGAAAATCAAAAGAAAAATGGGTTGGTGGTGGTAGGCGAAAAGCATGGATTTACTTATTTGGGTCACCGCCAACGCAATTTTGTAGTTTGTCCACTTGTTCTTAAAAATTGAAAATCACCATCTCCCAAAAACGAAAGCCAGTGTTCAAAAATGCCTTTTGGGCTGTAACTAGTTAAGCAAGTAAACTTGCCAGGCCTCTATGTGTTCACAAGTTTTGTTTTGTCTAAACCCTGAAACTCGTCCATGTGTAGTTTTGTTTGTTTTTGTTTTTTTCAGGACCAAGTCTGATAGCACTCTCGCTATAAGAAATATAAAATATTTTAATTAAATTTTATTTTTAACAAAATAATTATTTATCTTTAAATTAATACTATCTTTTCATATTTACATTTATTTAATATAGTATATCCCTCTAAAATAAATATAAAATAATTTTTTCATTAAAGACATTTGAAAAAAAACACAATAATTATACCTTAAAATATTAAAAATATCTTACATTTTTAACATCCAACCTCTAAAAAAATACCTAATATTTTTAATAGAGGGAGTAATTCTTAAGTGGTTTAATACCAAATAGAAAGTTCTTAAAACTTAGGATGCTTAGGCCATTCTCAAGACTCCTTTTTCTTTGTTTTTTCAAGGAGATAAGCTGATTTAGTCATAAAAAACTAATAGTTTTTACTCTGTTAAACCATTTGCAAGTACCAAACTTCTTTCTTGAATGAATCCTTTTTAAGTTTTCTTTGAAAAATTAAAGTGCTGCAAAAGCAACTTTTATTTGTATGGAAGCTAATTTATTTAGGGTATTGGAGACATTCTTCAAAAATATCATTTGGATGTACAATCTCAATGTGTAGATCACAGAACCAGGAAACTAACAGCATAACTTATGAGAAATACAAAGAATGGTGTATATATCTTAAACAAAGCAAGTAAAATTCAACTGTAACTATATTTAATCCATGTCTTACAACCCTAGTGATCAAACCATGATACTATAATCAGAATTTTTATTTGTATTTTTAGAATTATTAGATCAATTGAACCAACCAAACTTTTCTGCCTCTCCAAACAATTTCTCATAGCACAGTAAAAAAATATTTTGGTTTATAGATCATATATCAATATTGTTGGAGCCATATTGGAATGGTTTAGCAGCATTATCAAAGGAACCCTTAAGTTCAATGTCAATGTAATCAACTCCTAACTCAATGGCTAATCGTAATCCATCCAATTGCTTGTTTTCATTTAGAAGCTAATCCATTCAGCACTACCAATTGGAGACATTCATCAAAAACATCATTTGGACGTACAATTTCAATGTGACTTTGGATGTCGTAATTCTGAATCACTATCGCATCTGGTTGGTAGTTGTAATTATACCAGACCTATATGGTTTGGTGCTTTGTTTATCCACTCTTCAGATATTGAGGTTGTTAGATTGTTTAATTCAATTGTTTTTATGTTGTCTTACTCATACAAAGATAGGCTTGATCTTCAATTAAGAGTTATTATTATACTCCTCAATTTGATTTGGCAAAAGGGGAACCTTGTTTTTCATAATGAGATTATCCATTACCCTAGTCAAATTTTATTGGAGTTTCACAATCAATGTCACTTTCTTTTTTATGTATGTCATTAGTATGATGTTAGTGACAAAAGTAGTTCTTCACATAGCTTTAATCCACTTGGTTGTGCTTGAACTGTCATCCGATAGCACTCTTTATTAGGAACTAGAGTATCAAGATGATCAAGTTGAAAAGAGATGGTAGTGTTGGTTGTACTACTATCTTATACATCAACTCTAAACCTATTGCAAGTTTTCTTTGGAAATGCTTTTCAACTATTGAACCCAACTCTTTCATTTTGGTTTACCTTAGAGTCATACTCATGGATCAAGAATCAAACAAATAAGAGATTCATTGATTGCTGTGGTTTTTCTATGATTTGCCACAAAGAGAAGCTTTACAATTGTCTCCTGTAGAAGCATCGCTCTATTCAACCTTTGGTGATTGACATTAGTATGCTGCTTGAGAATTTTGGTGTTGTTTGCTTTAATGTTTCTCATGATAGATCTTATTTTCTCTCCCTTTTTCATTTTATGGTTACTACGACTGATGCTTTATAAGCTATTTTCATTTTATTTAATTGATCTCTTTATAAAAAAAATAGTAAGTTCTTAAATAATTTAATATAAATAGATATTAAAATTATTTTTAACAATGACTATGATATGAAAAAAATTAGTGATAACTACATTGATTTTTGTCTCTTTAATATATGTTGGTTTAATAAGCATGCCTAGCATGGTTCAAATCCCATTACTAATAAAAGCTAAGTTTTGAGAGCTGCCTTTACAGACCCAAACCTAAACTTCTTAAATTTTAATTATGTTTTGATACAACTATTTTTTTTTTTCCCATTTGGGAAAGCTTTAGAACGACTTGCTGCTTCCCTTGTAGTAATTGATTCTATTTCTACTGCAAACGTCCGTTCTCAATTTAATCATTTATTTTATTTGTTTAAAAATTAGGCATAAATTTGAGTATGAGTTCTTTCTAATGACAAGTTTGTTTAGATGATTTCACAAACAAAATGCTTCTGGAATCACGTCGCTTATATTTTGTATTACTTGCTACAGAATGTCTCCACAGTATCAAGCGTGATGGGGATGTTCAAGCAATCATATGGCTTTATCTAACTGCGGACTGCGATGACACTTGACACCAAACAAATCCTACGTGGCATTCGGTCAGCATTTCTTTTTCATTTTTCGCACCCGGCTGACTATTTTTTTCATTTATTTCATATATTTTTCAATTTTAATAACGCACATTATTTTTTACAGTTGGTTTACCGATCTTAGCTCTCAGAATCCGAATCTATACAAATCTCTGTTTTTTCAAACTAGACTCTCGCTCTTTTATTCTGCATCCGAGTCATTTTTGTCTTGCCACATCATCACCCAATTTCCAGCATATCCACGGTGCTTGTAGGATCATAATTCCTTTCAGAACACTGTCACCAACTTTAATAATGCTATTATTTTTAACAAGATCCTCGGAGAAGTCATAGACCCTTTACATTTGTAGACGATGATCGCTAGTGTAGATGTGAACTCATTCCTACATTAAAATTATAGCCAAATGAAATAACTAGGTAGATGCTAGATCATATCAGATTTCGGCAAAAGAATACAACACATCTGTACACAACTTCTAGATACACACACCCATTTAATTATTAGTCAGCTTAATGTTCTTTTACTCCTGATGCCGCTGAACTCTCAGCCAGCTCTTTCTCAGGCAAGCTCTGTGCACTATTATCACCCTCCACTTCTGGTGAAGGCGGCAAAGATGGATTCTTTTTTCCTGGTGCTTTGGTGATTACAGTCTCCAAATCTTGTGCAGCGCCTCTTCCATCCTCAGTCATTGTGTGTTCTTTTGATTCCTGCCGGACACCTGCGCCAGCAGTAAGATCTTTCTCAGACATTATCTCTTCAATTTCACCCTCTGCAGCCGAAAAACAAGGTTGGTCCATGTCTTTCAATACATTTTCTTGCTTGCAATCATTGCCGCTGTTTGCAACATCAGTTTCTGAGCTACCACCCTGGTAACCCTCTGTTCCCGTGGAAGATGGAGGCGATGCATGGTCTACTGATGCTGTTGCTAGCATATCCGAAAAACCCTCAGGAACATTCTTTCCATCAGCAGTATCTGCTTTAGATTCTTTCGATACATTTCCTAGAATGACATGATCAGCATTGTCTGTAACATCAGCATCTGAGTTCACCTGATTACCCTCGGCAGCTGAACACGGAGGCAAAACCCTGTCTGTCGATGCTGATGATAGAATATCCAGGTTAGCTTCAGTAACCGCATTTCCATCAGTTATATCACCTTCAGATTCCTTCAATACGTCTTCTGGCAGGACAGGATCATTGTTGATCATTTCATCACTTTCCGAGCTCTCTCCATGATTACCCTCAGCTGCTGAAGGCTCTGGAGGTGAACCCCCATCCATTGATTCTGCAGCTAGCACATCAGAACAATCATCGATGAAAGTCTTGCCATCTTTTATTTGAGCTTTAGATCCTTTTGACACCTCCATCCCCGCTGTGCGGCCATCTATACCCTTCTCAGATGAGCACTCATCCTCTTCAGCCGAGGCTGAAGGACATGGAGTTTCTGTTGCATTTTCCATCCCAGCTGCGCAGCTTTCAACAATACCTGCCTTATCCTTCATATCAGGTCTACAACTTCCTGATTCATATTGCACTTCAGAGGTGCCTACTGGACCTTTCTCGGACAACTCTTTCCCCCCCGCTCCTGCAGTGATGGTCAAAGTCAAAGCTCGGCACCTCAATGCATCATCACCAACAGGTATTCCGCCACCCTTCGTTGCACGTAGATGGAGTCACAAATCAGAATTCAAGGAAATCATGAATCACAACCAAATTTGACACAGATATAAAGTCATCTCCCATTTGTATAATTTACTGATTTCAAACATGGAACTCTAAAAGCCTAAAGAGTAACGTAGAAAGTGCATTCTGTATTTCAAAAGGGGAATGTTATTGCAGACAAGTGAATATATACTGTGTCAGAGAAACGATCATACTTAATTTGATTTGCTCTCCCCTAGTAGATGAACCCTTTAGCTGGGACAGTATGGTTTTATATAGATGAATACCTAAAGTGTTTTGCTCCATAATCTTAAAATGAATGCATTTAAGAATCAGACACAATATTTGGACTTGCATTGGCACGGTATAATTATAAATCTACTGACCTTTAATACTTAATATAAGGACAAAGTCCAAAATATAACTTACCAGCGACTCACTCTTTTTTTCACCCATCTCAGCTTCAGAATTACTTGATTCCTGAGGTGGTAATAGATCCTTATTGAGAGCCTATAAAATAAATTAATGAAAGGATCATTACTGTGACATGTATACCGATAACCAATAGGTGCAAACTAGCTTACCATAGTAGCATCCCCACATGTCTCCCCTCCTGTCAGACCACCTGGTTCCCCTGGTGCTTCTGAGCTGCCAGGAGGTCCCATATCATATGACACAACGACATCCTCAGTCCCCATGGAAGATGATGGTGCAACCATTTCAATCATCTCATCTCCAGAATTACTAAATTCCTGGGCTGGTAATGGATTAGTAACGGGAGCCTGCCAAAATGAATTCATCAGGTTATTCGGATAATACTGCACTGCATACACTAATGGTTGATAGGTGCAAAACAGCCTACCATAGTGGCATTGCTACAACTTTCTTCTTCTGCCAAACAACTTCTAGATTCCCTTGGGTTTAGAGAACTGTTGGGAGGTTCCTTATCATATGACACATCAACCTTACTATCAACAATCTCATCGGAAGATGAAGGTACTTCCATGTTTGTCGATTCGAGTTTTTCAGGCTTATCTCCAGCAATATGAGTTAGTTGCATTTGATTGACCATTTCAGCTTCAGAATTACATAACTCCAGGGGGGATAATGGACATGTAATGGGATCCTGGATAAATGAAATCATTAAGTAAATTAAGGGATAATAAAAAGGATATCCTCCCGGCAAAATAGGTGCAAAATGGCTTACTGCAGTCGCATCCCTCCTATTCTCCTCTTCAGTCAAACAACCTTTTGGTTCCACCACTGCTACTGAACTGCAAGGAGGGTCCTTATCGTATGACACATCTTTACTTTCTTCAATCTCCATAGGAAGCACATCCACGTTTCTCAATTCAAGTTTTTCAGGTTTATCAGCCATTTCAACTCTAGAATTATGTGATTCTCGGGGCAGTAAAGGATTTATCATGAGACTCTGCAGAAATGAATTCATGAAGTAAGTTAACGGATAACTACTGTGTCACATATACCAATAACCAAAAGAAGCGTCATGGCTTACCACAATGGCATTCCCACAATTCTCTTCTTCAATCAAACTAACTTCAGTTTCACCTGCTGCTAGTGAACTGCAAGGATTCCCATCAGATGAGACATCAATCTTACTTTCCTCAACCCCTGAGGAAGGAGAAGGTACATCCACGTTTTTGAAAGCAAGTCTTTCTGGATTAGTTCCTGCAACCAGAGATGATTCCTTTTGATTCCGCACCTCAGCATCACAGAGGCCTGATTCCTTCACTTGTGATGGTTTTGTAATGGAACCCTGCAGAAATGAATTTATTAAAGAAAATGAAGTAATACTTGCCAGGCCAATACACTAATAGGTACCAGCGTACCTCATCAGCATGTTTTTTACTCTTCCCATCATCAACACAGTCTTTTAGTTCCCCCCCAGACAGTAGATTGGAGATGTGACCTTTATCATATGGGACATCAGTCTTATCTTGCACCATACCCAAGGAAGACACATTCAAGTTTTGATGTTCATGTTCCTCTGGATCAACCCCAAGAACCTGATCATTATCCATTTCCTTGCTCATCTCAGCCTCAGAGTAATCTGATTTCTGTTGTGGTAATGTAGTTGTAGTAGAGCCCTGCAGATATGAAATCATAATGTAAAATAGAAGGGGCAATGAGGCAAAGATGCTTAATAGATGCCCAAGAACATACCTCAGGGGCTTCCTTGTAACTCTCATCTGGACTGCACAGCGGAACCTTATCAGATGACACAGCAATCTTATCTTCATCCATCACCAAGGAAGATGAAGGTGCATCCATCATTTTGAATGAGTCTTGTTCTGGATCAACAAACAAGTTAGAGGACTCCTTTTGATCACATCCAACCTTAAAATCTTTTACTTCTTTCAATGGAGGCAATATATTGACTTCTAACCCTGCATTTTCTGGCAAAATATCACCAGCTTGCAAAGTAACGTTATAATTACTCTGATCCACCTTAGATCCATCCATATCCTCCTGGGGAACAGATCTCACAACTGAATTATTCTCAAACGATACCCCTTCTTGTTCTTTGTCTTTCACTTGGGAAAAAATAGCATCTATCACAGTTTCAACTACATCAACCTGAGAAACTTCCTTTTTATCACATAAAGTATCAGAGCACTTCAGTACTCTCAGAGTTGAAGCTTGAGAACCATCATCAGACGAACAAGCAACCTTTTCTTTCTTGCCCACCATGGGAGGCAAAGGCAAACACAAAGTCATTGATGTTTTATCTCCAGAAAGAACATCGCCATCCTGAGTAATATTTACACTGCCTGACTCAATTTTAGAATCAGTTGATTCATCCAATGGTAATAAACTGCATGATTCGATACCTGTGGTAGAACCCGCTAATTTTTCTTTATTTGTCATCAAACAGGAAGAAGAAATATTCAAATCTTCTTGTGAAGTGTTACAATCTTCATGCAAGATATGACAACCAGATAAGTCCATGTGAACATTAGTATCAGTTGTCGCAGCTTCTGTTTCCTCCAGAACTACAGCGCTGTTGCACAAACCCTCCTTCATTGACTCTTTCAAAGGTTCTAAGCCCTTAACTAGATTCATTCCAGATGATGTCCTATTTTCCTCTTGCACCAAGGATAATGAGGGCAGACCAGCAGTGTCAGATGTAATGTCAGTCACGTGAGAAACACCAACAGTTTCTGATCCAGAAGCTTGTGACATCATTGTTGCATCAACAGGTTCCTCATGGGCTTGGTTTTTAAGTAATTCTTCCTCGTTAACAAAGGAAGAAGACAAATCTGTGTTTGATGCATTCTCGGGCACAATCTCAACCTGAGAAACGTTAATTCTTTTACTGTCAGATGAGTCTATTTCCATGTCACTATTGGCAGGGTTGGCAACAGCTGCTTGCAACTGTTCACATTTGCAATCCCCTTCATCCATTTTTTCCTCACAGGGGGTTTCTAAGTGGCCCTCCAAAGGTTGAGTCTCGTGCAAAGTGCAACCAGATGTAAGAGCAGCTTTAACATCAGTGACTTTTGGAGAACCCATTGGACTTTCCACATTGGCATCAACAGAGCATTCGGTAGCTTCAGATTGCACTAAAGATTCTTCTAACTTCTTAGAACTATCCCCATCAAAATTATCAGAACCTGAAGGCTTCACATCTGCAAGAACAGGTTTGCGCCTCCCAAAACCTTCCATTTCAGGTGATTTGGAAATCTCTTTACTATAAGGCTCTAATACATTTTGAGAATTATCTTCAATTGTAAACTTAATCTCAGACTCCAGCGAACTCAAAGGGGCAGGATGCAAGCTCTGGATTAATGGCTCTGCACTATCATTATTATCAAGGTTGGCAGATGTGGAAGTTTTAGAGCCATCAAGAGAAAGTTCCGCAGACACTTGTAAAGAATACTCAGCTTCCTTTTCAGAATTAATTTCACCATGTTCAGACATATCAGAAACCTCAATCGTCCTAGAATGAGGAGTTGTTGCAAGACCAGATGGGATCACCTCAGATTGACTGCCTATAGCTTCAGGCTGAGCCAATAACCCAGAGCCATCACCATGACAAGAAGCAAGAAGTGAAGAAGGATTAGAGGTGTCAACCTGACCATCGATGGCATTATTGCTAGAATTGTCAGTTTTCAGGGGAATTGCTCGACATCCAGTGCCACCAACTTCAAGAGGTGAGGAACTTGCAGACTTCAGCAAGGAAGATCCATCACCAGTAGGAAGACAGTCAAAACCAACATTTCCTTGGGCAGCATTAAGTGGACTTGCATCATGCTGAGCCTCAGCCTCAATCCGAGAGCTTGAAGACTCAATGCAATTTTGCATCTGTTCCTTTTCACTGACATCACTGGAGTGGACTTCAGCTTCATTGACAGTCAGAACCTCATTCAAAACTGCTTTTAAGTCAGATGAAATTCCTGATTGTTTTTCATTCCCATTCACTGGAACAACTGAAGTAAGACATGCTGCTCCAGAAGGTGGGATATCTGAATTCATTTTATCCTCATGATTATGAGCCTCCAATACCTCCCCTGACAGTTTTTCATCCTCGTCTACTGAAAGTGCTGAAGTTATACTTGTTGCTCCAGAAGTTGTTGTATCAGAACATTGTTTATCGTCACAGCCCTGGTTATTCAATTCTTCCACCGCCATTTTAGTCGTTACACCTACAACCAGGTTGTTCTTATCTTCAATCACAACAGAGTCATGTGCTCTAGGCTTTGCCGAGCAAGTTCCAGAAAAAAATTCCTTCATCACACGAGCAACGTCATTCACATTCTGAATTCGGCCAATAGAAGCAACCTTATCTGAGGATCCAGGAACACAATCATCCCTTGCTGATGAACTTTTCTGCTGCTTATTTTGGGAAGAATAGATGGCCCTCTCTTTTCTTTTTGAATCTTGAACAACTGTACCACTGGGCAAATGAATCTGGAGTTGCTGAGATTGAGTAGCATTTGTCCCTTCCTGACCCTCACCTCCATGATTTACTAAAGCAGCAGCTTCAGGATCCTGACCTGCCAAAGCAGTGGGAACAGGTAAAGCTGAACCTTGTCTTTTTCCCCTGCGTCGTGGTGGCTCTGCTCTATTCTGAGTTTTACGACCTTGCCTTTTTACTGGCATAGATTCAGATGGCAATGGGCAAGGATGAGAAGACTCAGAGCCTAGAGGGGGAGGGCAGGAAATGCTTGATGGGACACTGGAAACAACCTTCACATCCATATGATCTGAAGACTTACCAATATTTTCCATAGTTGCAGTACCAGGTATTGAACTGGCTGGAGAATCAATAATAGAAGGGGCAGTTTTTGAAGCTTCCACGGCTTGATGTGTTCTGCCATCAATAGTCTGTTCCTTTGTCATCTCAGTAAGCACAGTTTCACTCCCTGAATCATCGCTAATTTTAATGTTGGATGAAGTGACTTGTAAAGAACTCCCTTTGGCAACTGAAGCAGAATCATGAACATTGGAATTCTGCAATTCTGACCCTGTACAAGAAGAAATACCTTGAGTTACTCGCTTGTCTTTGCTGATATAAATTAGAAGTTGCAATAAAAAGCAATGCATATTTTGACCCAAAAAAATATATATATAACAGCATATACACCTGCAACTTTAGTAACATTTGATGGTGAAGTCACTGTCTGCTTAGCTAAATCATCTGATTTTTCTGAGAGTTTTAAATCATGATCGCCAGGGTTCAATGATGCCTGCTCGTGGATAGCATCTTTTGATTCTTGAACAACATTTTCCTTCAAGCTTTTTACATCAGTGGCTTTTTCACTCAGTGCGCTGCCTGATAAAACCTGTAGACTAGAATTCATACGCAACTCCCGATGACCTGATGTGTTAGGAATAACAGGCAATACAGAATCCTGTTTCTTTCCCCTGCGCCTGGGAGTTCCTCCTCCACTTTGTGACTTCTGACTTTGACCCTTATTCTGCGTAGGAACAGTGGGGCAAGTAGGGGCAGTTTGAGACACAGGAGTAGTAGAGGGCAAAGATGGAGGTACCTGAGGATTCAGAGAATTTCCAGCACCCAAGTGATGATCCTTTCCACTGTTTAAAGATGTAGAAGCTGATGCAATATCTTGATTGTGTATACTCTGGGAAATAGCTTGGTCTGCAGATGAGTTTGTGGCTTTATCCTCTAGTTCATTTACCTTCAAATCAGGACCAACAGAACCACCAGGTATGAGAGATGACACCACAGCCTGCTTCTTCCCTCTACGTCTGGGTGCTTCGCCTCCACTTTGAGTTTTCCGCCCTTGTCCTCTTGCTTGAATTGGTACAGAAACAGAAGCAGCAGTAGATTGCTTATGGGGAACAGCTGTTGATAAAGGAATAGCAACCTCTGAGCTGGGAGCAACTCCTGTATCAGAGTGCTGCATGGGTCCAATAGTCCCTACAACTTCAGATGAGTGGGGACTAGATGATGTTATAGGCCCAGACAAAGTCCCTTTCTGTAACTGCATGTCGACTCCAATAGCTGCAGGAGGTGCCAGAGGAACCACAGCAGCTGGTGCCTTATCTGATGTTACTCTTTTTGGCCTTCCTCGACCTCGTTTAGCTGGTGGGGTTATCTCTTTTGTTTGCTGTACAGGTAAGCTCTCCACAGATGGCAGAGTCGGGACCACTGGAGGGATGGCTGCAGGTTCAACATTAGAAGTAGCTGCAATTGAGTTGGAAGAATTTACTGGGCCACTCGTTTCTACTACTTCTTCTTTTACTTTGGGTGATCCTGGAGATTCGACCTGACATATCTTCTCAAACTCCTCTTCTGTCCATTGCTCTTCATAAGAACGCACCTACAAGAATAATATCCAAGGTTAGACGCTCATGGTTAGAATACCATATTGAACACACAATCTAAATAACCAATTTCATATTTATCTGGCAGGTACACTCAAAAAGAAACCCTGAATCAAAGTCATGTGCACAGGCAGTTTACATACACATCTGCATCCATAAACGATTGAACAGGAGAACCAAAAAAATCAGATAGCAGACAAACCTCTCTGGCACGTTTTCCCCTCCCATAATGTTGAGTATCGAGGCCCCCAAGATATTCACTTTTCCGCTTTACTCCACTAGAAACTACTGCACCCTTAGGCACATCATATATCTTCATTGCTTCATAGAAATTTTTCAAGTCATCATCAGTTACAAGACGAGATGGAAGTGGAATTATAAGGTCAGAACTATCAGCTGCCTGGCCAAGTATCAATTTCTTCCATGCAGCCTGAAACAATTCATTTAGAGCTCCAGTAAGATAATCCACCCAAGAAAAAAGACAAAAATTCCAGTAAATACTTGATAGCATACCATTTCTTCTTCCCTCCTCTTTTTGTCAACAGCCTCAAATATATCCAACTCCATTTCACTGCCCACAAAGGCATATGAGTTTTGTCAACTTCCTTTCTTCTTTCATTTGACATGAAAGCACAATGCAAATACATGATATAAATGCAATAACATCATTAACCCTGCTATACAAGTAGTAGAAGAGCCTCAACATTTGGGAGTCAGAAGCTAGCGTAGAGATTAACAAGAAGGCAACTTGCGACTTAAATCAGCAAAAGAGGACGGCAGAAATGTTCTGACAACAACAATACACTGAGAAGAGGACCCACAATTGGGAGTGGATCAACATCAGTTTACGTTCCTCTCATTTTATCCTATTGTGATTCCAATGTTGTCACTGATGCAAGACAGTGGGGTTGGCTAAAACGCCTGGTTTCTTCAAGACTCCAATGTGATTTTTCTAAGAATCATGTCACAGCTCTGGAGGAGATCCTTTCTCAGAAGACCAGCCCATTAAACTTTCCAGAATTTTAAGGTCCCCTAAGCAACCCATACTACCCCAATATGGGACCTAAGCAGCTAACTTGGTCACCTTGCCAGTTCTCCTAAACAGCCCCTTACATCCATGGTGACTCCACTCCTGGCAGCTCTCTTAGCTGTCTCATCGGGTACACCAAAACATATAAATAAATATGACAGCCAAATATACAACGAAATTATGACAAAACCAGTGTTCAAATCTATTCTAACATCTAGAGTACATTCACATCAACCACCCACATCAAATAGTACTTCTCATTAACACAATCAACTGTTCTCATCACTCATGCACTAAAGTAGAAAGGAGACAATCCTAGATGTAATTCATGATCAGAATCGGATGTTCCAAGCAATGGAAAGATAGGCAGGTGGTGAAAGCATTAAAAAAAAAATTGTACCTGCGAGCCAAGAGATCATTTAGAGCATCATCATCTAATACAGGTGCTGCTTCCTCTTTCTTACACTCCCGCAGGAGGGACTCCAAGTATTCTCTTCGATCTTCAGCGCTGAGATAAACCATAGGCAGGGGAAATTAAGAGCTAACTCTATATCATTGTGAACAACTGAATGTGATTAATATAATGAAAACCTTGTATTGTTGTCAAAAAAACCAGCAGTAATGCTCTGATTGGCAACACCTAGTTTGTGCTCAGCGGCAGCTCTAACTTGCTCTTCAACAGTTTGGACCTTATTATATGAAGATTACTTTAGCAAATGCATGTCAATGTGACAAATAAGAAATCAAAATGGATGTTGCAAAAGATGATTATTCAAAATTGAACGGATGACAGTTAGGATTGGTTTCGAAGTGCAGTACACCCCCCTCCTCCACCAAAAAGGCCTCTAGCCTTGAAGCATAGACAAAGCATAAAAGCTAAAGCTGTTAGCCAAAGGCAAGGAATAGTTTTGATACGTATCTCTAAATAATACAAGTAATTTAACCTAAGTAAGTTCATATTACAATGCAATCAATCAAAGCAGAAAATATAATATTCTGGTTTTCCTGGCAAAAGCGGAACACGTGTTTCTCTTCCACTGGAAATAAAAATTACAACTGCCAAATAAAAAAGAGATACCCATGGCGATCATATTTAAAATAACATCCAAGAAAAGACATTAAATGTCATCATACATGCCATACACCGATAGAAAGCCATGAAAGCAAGCATCGCTTTCTACAGTCTAACAAGCATATTCCTGCTTATTATCAACACTATACATGGCATGAAATTTGCTTCTACGAGACATATTATTAATAAAGAAAGCACTGTTGTCGTTAGAGAGGAAGAAGGGAAATAAGAGGGAGGAGGATAAGAATAAGACACCCATGTAAAGGATGAACCTATACGAGACATATAAAGAATGCAAAGAAGAGTGTCCTTCTCTCCAAAAATTGAATAAGAAACACCTTAAAAAAAACCAATAGCATAAAATCAAAGCACGATTTATATAGCATGAGATTTCAATTTTCAAGTATATTAAATATAATTCCAGAAGTACACCAGAAGATTCACTTGATTTGTTGCCACTTATCAGTACATAACTGATGCAAAACACAAATAAAAAAGAAAGAGTACTGACTGTTTCAAAGCGAAGAACAAGAACATCCCTCTTTTGACCAATTCTATGAGCTCTTGCCTGTGCTTGCAAATCAACCTGATAAAATACCAATAAATAAGAAGACCTCAGTACATCGGCAGCAAAAATTAAACAACCCAAAAGCGCATAACAGAAATCTCATTGCCTGTGGATTCCAGTCAGTGTCAAATATGATCACCGTGTCAGCAGCTTGAAGATTCACTCCAACACCACCAGCTCGAATGCTTTATGAAACATACACGCATGTCAGCATACCGAAGGCACTTGGAAATGAGAATATAGAACTTCAAGAGAATTAGGACCCAAATTGTTAACTTTTTTGGGGGTGCCTTCCAAGAAAAATTACATGAACAGAAGCAAAGACTTTATCTTCCATTCCATCAGCCGTAGTTGTCACCATAGATGCCCACCAACATCAAAACAGCTGATGTAGAAGCAATTACTTCATATTTTACTTCCACAATATCTCTAAAATGACCAAATCAGGCTTAGACTTATCGCACAATGGCTTCTCCTAGCGTTATATTTTCCACTCTGTTATAGTAATGGATTTTCATTTGCATTATTTATGCTTGTCATCCAAGCCCTTAAAGTCAGACTTTTTATACTTAGCCATGAGATCTCATTGTGGCCTACCATGCCCATGTCTATTTATGGGGTTGCTGAAAACTTAATCTGGTAGCAATCTTCTATTGGCTCTCAGATATAAAAATTACAGGGTTTCTAAACATTGAACAAGATGTAGCAGTCCAGGCCATTCAAGTGTGCCTAGTGATGGTTTAAGCATAAACAGATGGCAAACAGCAAACTAAACTAAAACTAAATGTCAATAACAAAGATTTCTTAACCTCTTTCATTGTCACAAACAATACTGTAGTCAACACTAGAATTACCTGAGTAAGAATATAAAAAATGGAGAGCCAGGCTGGTTAAACAAATCAATTAGGGCACCACGATCACTCCCAGATGTATGCCCATCCAATCGAAGATAACGATACTGTTTCAAGGTTAAGTATTCCTCCATAACATCAAGAAGCCTAGTCATTGTTGAAAAGAAAAGCACCTGTAAACGCATTGATAGAACAAAATCAAACATCACAAACGAAATGTCCAAAAATGAAGGTAAATGATACATAAGGCACATCAGTAAATGAAAGAAAGATTTTCCAAGCACATTAAGCATCTGAAATGGAAACTAGCGAGTTAAATCACACCATCAGAATCTTGAGGAACAAGATACAAGTAAAAAAGAAATAGAACTAAAGTTAATTGCAGTTTCAGTACAAAAAATAAAAAAGAAATCATAATTACAGCTTGCGAGTATGATAAATAAAAGTTAGTTGCAGTAATCTAGTGATATGGAGGCTTTCATACTCTATGATCTGTGGCCTTCAACTTAGGTAATAATCGATCCAACATTTCAAGCTTCCCACAAAGTCTTACAATATGGGGCAGATAATGCTTGGGTATATAGTTATCCACCTACAAAAGGCAGGAGTTCACAGATTAGTCATTCAACAAGAAATCAACATAGAATCCCATGGACCTTGACCCTTCACCAAAATAATCAAATAGATGGAAAGGATGAAGGAAAGAATCAGAGAGATTGATTTGCCATTCCATTTTCTAAGAAAGATGAGAACGTACCTCCTCAGCATGCAGTTGGCTGAGATATGGATGGTTGCAAATATTACGGAGCTCCATAACAGAATTATGTACAGATCGAGCCTAACAATTGAGGCTTCCAATTAGACCACCAAATACAATAAATCAAATTGCACATGCACATATATACAAGAGAAAACGAGGGAAATAAGGGGAAAATAAGTCCTTTTCCACTATTAAATAGTCAATAATCAAAGCATTCCACGCAGGTAGAAAGGACACCTTTGAAGAGCCAATAGAACCGAGATTGTCTTCCACCCTCTTCATCAGAAGTTTTTGATATGCAGAAGCCTCACATCTTACAAGTCTTTCGATCTTTTCAGGCAGCTCATTTTCAACCTACAGCAGGGTAGAAAGGCGTGAAAATTAACACATGATAATGAATTCAAGATATGATGACTGCAAGATAGACGAGGACAACTTCAAATCTCAAAAGTTATAATTCCATGTCCTCATAAGTCAAATCAAGCAAGGAAAATAAAGTATGGGCAGCTCATTTACACTGAGAGTATGATAGAAATAAAAAGTAATCAACATAACAATGAATTCCAGATAAAATTACCGCCATATAGACCAGGACAATTTAAAGTCTCCCAACTTTATATATTCAAATCCTCATAAGTCAATAACAAAGCAATGAAAATGCAGCAGATGACGTGAATAGAAGTTATATCATAAAAAGACATCACATATAATCTTTCTTTAATAATCAAGCAAGGAAAATACAGCACATGACATAAGTCTCATACAAGTAAGGACACTCTCATGATCTTTTTAAATATCAATCCTACATTCTATGGAAAATCAATTAAACATCTAGCATTAATCTCAGGCAACTCATTATTAAAAACCCATCTTTGTGGTACGTACCACAATATTAGAGTGGAACACACAGAATGACTGCCAAAGTAAGCAGGTGGCTCAAGCTAATTAAAAACATCAGTTTTTCCCCCACAAACTTGGTCGACATGGATAGTTGGGGGAAAATCTCAACTACAAAGTGAATATATGCAGAGCTACACTTTTATGATCATAATAACAATCAATTATTGATTATATGAATTTCATGATGTTCATGAATCATGAGCCACGTTTACTAGTAACATTGAGTTGCAGTTAGAGTACACAGAACTCAAAACAAAGGATAGAAACAACTATTAATGAGACTAAGTACCTTATGTTTTAGCCTGCGAAGTACAAAAGGCCTCAGAACTTGATGTAGACGGTTTATGATCAAGAGATTCTCCTCCTCAGACAGTAAAGCCTTGTTACAAAAAGAAAACACCACCAAAAACAGAGCAAAATCAATGAAGTTGGGTGTCTGAATTGTGCAAAGGGAAGCATCAATACGTCAAGTAAGGAAAAATACAAATGCTAATACTGATCCAAAGCTCACCTCATCAGGTGAACTGTCTCCATTACTCTCAAATGGTTTGTTGAACCATTGAGAAAAGTCCTCTGATGAATTAAATATGTTAGGTAACAAGAAGTTAAGTAGAGCCCACAGTTCTTCAAGATTGTTCTGTATATGAGAATAGCACACACATTCAACATCATTATCATGGCAATAAGGGGAAAAGACAAAGCAGAAGTCCGCAGATCCAGCAGAACTCTGTGTCATTCAGAGAAAGAAGAAACCACAACAACCAGCAGCAGGAAGCCTTATCCCACTAGGTGGGGAAAATGTAAATAAAAATTGTGAAGAGAAAATGATCAGACGTCACAAGCAGAGATCAACACTGGAGTCAAAGGCAACAAAAGAGGGGGGAAGGTAAACCTGCAATGGTGTTCCAGTCAACAACAACCGATGAGAGCTCTGATAGTGTTTCAATTCAGCATTCAACTTGCAAGAAGCATTCTTTATGCGGTGGCCTTCATCAATTATTATATAGTGCCAATGTATTTTGCTCAACTTAGGCCTATCATGCTTGTTCATTAGATACTCATATGTTGTCAATAGGACATTAAATTTCTGGTGAACAATCCTTTCCCTGCAATATGAATTAAAATCTGAGAATCATATAGCAAAACACAAGGTCAAACAAATAAGAAAAGGCTGTTATCTATCATGTCCATTACTTGAATAACCGCCGCCGTTCCTCTGGTGGTCCAGAGTAGACAATTTTAAGAACGCCAGGAGCCCAAAAATTAATTTCTGACTCCCAACCAGGTAGAACTGAAGATGGAACAACCACAAGAAAAGGTCCTCTATCATTTTTAGTCTCCATCAGGTAGCAAATCAGAGCAATAACCTAAAAAAGTGAAACATGATCAGGATCTGGCAGAGTAGAAGTTTAAATTTTAAGGTCCAATAATGCTCCCATCTACAGCAGAAAGTAGCTTCCGCCACCTTCAGGTGAGTAGTTTTAGCCCTATCGATGCAGGGTCAAACATGCACTGATACTCTTTATATCTTTCACAGAATCTTAAAAAATCCAACAAAAGAAAAAATACCCAGCAAGAAAAAAGATAAGTTGCAAAAAACAGTATTAAATAATAGACATTAAACAAACAGTAAAAAAACAGAAATGTAGCTCCAAAATTAAATTTCCCATTTGAATAGAACTGATACATACCTGAACAGTTTTACCCAGTCCCATTTCATCAGCAAGTATTCCATTCAAATGATTGTTGTATAGCGAAACCAGCCACCTCAGGCCATTCATTTGATACCTAGATAAAAATCATAATCAAAAGTAATGTGAACCCGAACTCCCTTCCTATCAAACATCAAACAAGATTAAAATAAAAATAATTAAAAAGAAAAAAGAAAATAAGCTAAGAGAACATGCCAAGAGAATAATCTCCCTGCCTCTCTCCTAAAAAAAGGGGGCCAAAATAGTTCAAGAAAGGTTAAACTACTCTGTTAATCATCAAAGCTTTAATAAATTCCAATTTGGTCTATATAGATTAAAAGTTTGTGACAAGCTCCCAATAGTTTTAGGAGTGAACCTCATCGTCGAACAACCATTTGTATCTTTATTCTATTAACATTGCCAACTTTGTGCCATCTAGGCACTAGAAAAGAAGTAAAGGAAGATCAGAGCGGAATCTACTGGCGTGTAGGGCATGTGATGAAAGGGAACAAATTTAACAAAAGGGAAGGGGCTACAAAATTTCAAATTATACAGACCAAATTGGAAATTGAGAGCAGATTTGTGGATCAACATGGCAATCTAACCTATGAAAAACATCATCATAATGATAACAGACAAATGAAGCTTCTCCACTGCTCATCAAATTCCAATCCCCATAATAAAACTTACACACATGAATCTACAATAATTCATAAACTATAAAAAGGAGGAAACTTCACTTACTCCCTCAATTTTCCACCCCGCAGAGAAGATGGCTGCTCAGCAATGCTCTCCTTTATACTGCACAAAGAAATTTAGCTTATAATGGAGAAACAGGACTACAACTACATATAAGAAAATTCAAGACAGCATTCCTAGATCAATGGGCTCAAAAGATGACAAATGTAAGTGTAATTTCAGAAGACATTCTTCACAACAAAATAAAGTTATTAGCGAAGAGTTCAAGAAAAAAAAAAAGAATCAAAGTAGCAAGAAAACCATTATTTAAAGAAAAAAGAGTAGAAATTAGACCTGTGGGCCATCATATAATACTTCTCATTGCTTTCCAAATAATGCTGAAAAAGAAATTGCGACAAATGAGTTCTATGTTTATCACGTAAACTTGAGAAAGCAATGGGATCAAAGCACTTGCCTTTGCCTGATCACTCTCATCCTCATTTTCAAGAGTTGTCTCATTTTTCTCAAACATACTTCCATTTCCTGCCTCATCAACATCATGCTCAAAACGACCAGCTGCAGTTTTTGCCTCTTGAAGCTTCGATCCAAGCTTTTGAAGGTACTTCTCTGTCTCCTTAAGAAGTTGCTTCACCCGATCTGATTTTGCATCCTAGTGCAATCATTTAGGATTATATTAGCCAAAAGTTCTAAACATGATCACTTCTGCAGAAAGGGTAAGCAAGCACATAAATCCACCTGCACCATGCGCAGATACCCCTCCACATCATTTATTTTCAACAAATTAATCTTTTCCCTCTGAATTCTATCAATCTTCTCTCGATGAATGCGTTCCTTTCTTTTATGGAACTCCTTCACATATCTATTGAAACCCTTCCACCGTTCCCTCTTGATTTTGAATGCATCATCTAGCCTTTCCCTAAAATTCAAGAACAAAGCAAGATAAAAAGTGATGGAGAATAGGATGAAAATAGAGAAATTCATATATAAGCTCAACTTACATGTTACATGTGTACCTATTGATTATTAATGATGCACTTGAAAGAAAAAAGAAACTGCAGAAACAGGCAAGAAGAGAACATACTTGTGAACTTCAATCTCACCGAAAAACTCCTTCTGCCTCTCTCGAATTCTCTTCTGACGCTCTTCCTTCATTTTCTGCTCAAACCTTTCAAGTTGCTTAATCCTCCTACCATGCCTATGTTTCTTAATTGACTTCAAATGGTCCATCTCAGATGTAATCGGTTTGAAAAAATCATTCAAGAAATCACTGCCCAAAAAGGAAACTTACACTGTTAAACTACCAAGCATTTTTCAAGTCTTCAATACAAGAAAGAAAAGAAGAAAAAAACCTTCGGAGACGACGTTGGAGATCCAATAGTTGAAGTTTTTTCAGTTCTATAACACTTTTTGTCTTAGCAGATATATCTTCAGATGAGTTCACATTTTCCTGCATCAAAGGATAAATGTAAAGGCCATGAAAACAAAACAGCACTAAATAATAGCCTATCTATAAATGTGGTGTAGCAGAGCACAAATAATAAATCAAACGAACACAGAAATATATCAAAAATTGAACTACTAAAAGACAAACAGTTAAAACAAACCTTTAGCTTGTCAAAGCATGAAATAATTTTTTGCCTTGTCTTCTGCTGCTTTCGTACCCAATTTTGCTCAAATTGGTGCCTCTTCTTTTGCTGATCCATTATCCATTTCTCTGACATTGTAAATCTTGGAGATGCTGGCATTTCAGCTGACGCAAATCTCCCATTCCCTTCTACCTCTGCAAGTAATTTCTTTTCAAAATCACAACAGCTGAGAAATATGCATTAAAAATAATGTAGAAAAGCATCAAAAAATTTGGTTGCAGGTACAGAATTCTATTGCACATGGTTCTCACCCATAGAAACATGTTTTGTCATAACATTCACATCCTTCAACATGGTAGCTCCCTGAGGATCACTGTCAGATCCTGATACAGGTTTCCAGTGCTCCTTTAAGGAATAAGAAGGCAAGTGACTGACAGAACTGTGATTCCGAGATCCACCATTGTTATTACCAATATTTTGAAAATGACTCAGAATATTCTCTCTTCTCTCGACAGGCAACTCATGCTGAACAGCAGACACCTGTAGGGTGCCCTTCAGAGTGTCATTGTGACTGACAAATCCAGACCAGTTAATGCCATCAGGATTTACAGGCTTATTCAGACCCATGATAGTAGATGCCTGGTTAGACCTTCCAACCTGCAGATTACTGTTGTCAACATCATCCAAATGATTGTTAACAACTAAAGAACCCCTCGCACTCACAGAATCATGTGGCTGAAATGTTGGGTTTGAACAAGCTTGTGCAGCCAGGAGATGCTTCCTTTCTTCTACGAGTGCATGGACATCAGAATGCAGGTTACCTTTGTCCTCCATCATATTTGGGCTCTCAACCCCTCTTGAAAATGAATCAGCCTCCAGAATCTTTCCAGCAGAAGAAGACAGAGAAGGGTTTTTATCAGTTGTTCTCACATTGTTTAGTCCTCCAAATGGCATCAACATCCCAGGCGCATTATTGGTTTCATTTGAAGATAGTGATTTTCCTTTTTGGTCAATCAGCTCTTTGCGGGAACCATCTGTATTGCCACCTCATTGCACACCAGTTAGTTAAACAAGACCTTTTAATTAGTCATCTAAAACAAGAAAACTAGATACTACTAACCTTCTCTAGAAAAAGTGGTTCCCAGTGCAATCTCAAGATGTAATTTCTTTGGTGGCAAACCATTTCTGCCCATTAAACAACAACCTTTATCAAGCAACTTTCAGAGATGATTCAAGTCACACCTAAAAGGTGTTGGTATAACATATCTACCTGAATGCTAGAAAAACAAGGCACTGAGCTCGAAGCTGCTTTAACTGTTGTTCTTTAAAAGGCGTGGAAGATGATGCAGGCTGAGGCAAAACAGGGGATTTTCCAGTATCTCTGGAAGGAACACTTTGTCTTGGCATAGCCATTTCGGTGGCACTGTTTTGCCTTCCAATCTGTCAATTAAATTATCCGGTTAAGCAATCAAGTTGGCTCATATTTATGTCAAAGTCACAGATAGCAAAAACAGAATATTCTTTGGGGCCCCAGAAAAGTTCGAACTTTAGGCCTCATAAACCACCCAAACTCCCCAATGCTAAGCCACGCCTGTTGGCTTCAAGCAGAATAAATCTTAACTATTCATATATAATCATTAAGTTGCCACTAAGCCTATCAGAATTAGATGACCATTCCATAAAGTTAAAATGCACACAAATAAATTGAGGGGGGCAAAGTATAAAGGCAAAAATTTAAGCACAAGAAGAAAAAAAGTTAAAGTAAACTCCCTTCTGAGCTGATCAATCTAGCTCCCAAACAACTAGGATTTGCCATCGAGGACCACTTCACCCAACAGTTTCACAATTAGGAGATGACCGTGAATAGTATTACTATTATCTCTACCACGCCCTTTCAGATAAATACCTTTTGGATTTGAAGCCTAGACAAAACTTAAGTCGACCGTACAATGTGCTGAAATTTAATTTAGCTAAAAGAATGGGGAACAGTAAGGATCAAACTCTTCATCACTAGATCAATAAGGCTCTAATACCAGAACCACATGAAAAAAGCTTAAGCATTTAGAGGACAGACATAAATGATTTTGTTAACAATCTCTAAAGGAATTAGATGCTACCCACTAGAAACAAATATCAATCTCACCCTAGAAAAGCTGAAATGGCTAAATTAGCGGGTAACATGTGAGAGCTAGGCAATATACTTAGCCATAAGACTATCCCACTCTAGAGCAGGAAGATGAGTAAAAGGAGACTCCTCTTCTACCACAACACTAGAAAACGAAAATGAAGTCTTTATTACGTGTAACAGCCAAGTGGCACCAACAATTATTGTCCAAATATGTCTTTTTGGATCAACAGTGCCTTGGCCTCATGAAGCTGTCTCCTGACATTTAGGTTGTGCCATAAATGCTTTGAAACAAGGCCATCTATTGTTGTACTGTTGTTGTAAGTATAGCTTTAGCACTTTTTTATTTTTCCCTTCCGACAGCAATGGATGTATCCACCAAATTTGAAAGTCTTCTTCATGAAATGTCATAATTTCCCAACATCTTTTTTGTCTTGATCAAATTCACCTTTTCTACATCTTATCTGAAATAATAAATTCATTTGATCTAAAAAAAATTCTGGATAAATACTTGTGAAACTTATCATGTAAGTGTTTTTCACCTTTGCAAGGGCAACAAAAAATTTCATTATTTTACGGGGGCACAAAACCCTACAAAAAACCAATCAGCTCTACCATTCTCTGTCACTTCTGATGAAGTTAATATCAAAATAACAGTATAAAAAAGGTTTTCAAATTCCAAAGAACACTATTGTGCAACCATCTACAAAGTACAATACAGTCTCTTTTTCTATTTCAAGTTAAAATAAGACAGAGAGGAGGCATCCCATCAACTTAACAACTGTGATAGCACATATGCCTCATATGAAATTAGTCTCCATCAAAAATCCCCAGCCAGGTGATTAGACAAGAACAGGCACCACAAATGCATTATATCAAAGCAAAAAATGAAGAACAATTTATGCTCACTGACTAAAGTAGCTGAACTTCCTAAATATAATCAACATTAAGCACCTGTGCCGCTTTATGTGCATCAGCTAAAATAGCTGTGCTTCCCCCATCATGCTCAAGACCACCACCATACTGCATTGGACTTGAAAAAGTTGGTTCTGCCAATGGATATGCACCAGTAGCAACTGCCATCCCTCCATGAGCCTTACCATAAGCACCTGGAATTCAGCAAGAAAATGGCTCTATAAAAAAGATGCAGAAATTTCAAAATTGTAGATTTTTCCTTGATAACATCAAAATTTAAGTAGAACTTATATCTTCCCAAATCCTAGATTGACATTTGCAGAAATATTGGTGAAGGAAAAAGCATCCTAGAACTTGAATATAATTTATGAATAGCCAAGACTGACAAAAGAACCAGAATGATAAAATCTCCATGCAAAGATGTTATTAGATAATCAATGGCTAAATGCCACTTCTTTCTTCAAACTTTGCCACTTTAACATTCCACAACGGCATCTTAATTTGAATATTTTATACTTTTTGCAATCTACAGTCTGAAGCACGGTTTCATCAAGCATTATCAAGACTTGTATTATGTAAATTTCCAAATCCCTCACTTAAACAAAAGAATGGTGGTATCAACATTGGGAGAAATCCTGGAAACCTTAATGGCCCCAAAAACAAAGAAAACCAGGAAACCATAGATTAGTCTGAAGATAACCCAGCTTTATTTTTATTTCATACACTTCAATTCCCATCACCAGAAGGTAAGCAACAACTATTTTGCTCCTGAAGAACAGGTATAGAGGAAACTTCCACATCTCCTAAATAATTTGAATTTGGAGCACATAGCATGGCATTGCCAATCTTTGTCAATTTTGTTTGATTTTTCCAATATATGATGACCTTGATTGGCTGCAATGTTTTCATGCTACTAAACAGAGCTACAAAATAATCCATTTGACCACAAATTGAAACCATGTTAAAGTTGGTCTGCTCACCAGTTTTAACTGGAAGGCCATCTGATGGTTCGGCTTTTGCCATTTTCCCCTTCCTAGCATTAACGACAGTATTACGGGAATCAAGTTGAGAAGAACCATCAACATGTGGCTCCACATGTGAAGATGTATCTCCTCTCTTTCTCTTTGTTGCGGTTTTCTTACCATCCTTTTGACTCCCCTGCTTTTCCCAGTTAGCAGTATCACGTCTGTCTTGTGACTGTGAGTTCGCAGACCTTGAGTCCAAACTAGAAGGACTTTCTTGATCAAAAGACTGACTACTCCTCTGAGCCACAGATCCCTGATAATAATCAGGAGCTCCACTACTTGGGGCAACAGGTGGCCGGTTAGAAGCAAATGGTTCCATTTTGGACATATCATGTTCAGCCAAGCCCACTCTGGAATCCTTTGGAACACCTACAGCCTGTGAAGGCCCTATACAAGAGCAAAACAATAATGATATGAAAATCTAAGATACGGGATAATCAATATTCTTTCTTCAGAATCTACTGTTATATAGCTACCTATTTGGGCTCCGCCAGTTAAGGGAAGGCGTGAAGACTTCAATGCTTCAATATCAAGACCATGCTGATTTATAACAGTTTCCATTGCCCTATAACAGACAAGATTACATAGGAGAAAAATGCATAAAATGATTTTATGTACAAGGTAAAAGAACTTCATTAAGAGTGGGGGAATGTAAAAATGAGAGGGATTAGAATAGGCAAAACAATACAGGTCCAGTGCCAAGGACAAGAAACTATATATATGGATAGAGTTACAAGTTCATTTAAAAAAAGTATCATGGTCGACAAAAAAATCAAATTTAAAAAGAAAAAGGAGTAAACAATTGAAGAGCTATATATGCTTGTGCTAGGATGGTAGTTGCTATGATTACCTTGATATCACTTGATACGGCATTGAATGTTCCTTCCCGCTTGATTTCATGTGTTGAAGTATCTGAGAAGCACATAAAAATAAATCAATTACACGCACGCTTAATTGTATATAAGGAGTGGTAAAAAAAGAAAAAAAAAAGGGAGCCACAGAATTTTATTCAAGAGAAAACAGAACGCACCACATAGAGTTTAGTAGCCAACTTGGCTGGCTCATCTTTAGAATCCTGAATGAGTTTGTGCAGAAATTTTGCTGCCTCCAATTCAACATTTTGTGAGGAGGCCATATCATTTAAGCTGCAGTATGCCAGCAATAACTAATATTATCAGGTCAAACTAGACTAGAAATTGCTCGCACATATAAATAATTCCAAAGAACAACCAATATTTACAACAATGGTATCGCTAAACTGGATGCAAAGAATGACTATAGTGATGCAGACTGTAATGAACTTCACATCTTCAACAGCAGCCACAAAAACACAGCAGACCTTTCCTCTCGCCTAAGTATATTCTTAGGTAGCATATGCACATGCCTCCACAACTCATATTCATATGATATGTACGATCGTTGCAGCTATCTACATAATCCCTCCAAACTAAAGAGAGAGAAACGAGAGGGAATTAATCAATGCAAACATGAAACTGTGCGAATGCTTTGATTCCGGAATATGGACTAAAATTCATCAAGACAGCTCTCACTTTCTCGTTTGTACCCTATCTTACACTTCACAAAACCGAAATTTATATAGTTATTATAACATCAGCTCATTTTCTTCCTATTCCAAAACCACCCCAAAAAAAAGAAAAATCCGGCCTCTGTATCTTTATACCCGCGATATCACATCATTATTACTCTCAACGCAGAAAATCCAGCAAACTTGGTTTAAGTGCACATGAAGCCGTATTACAGCAAATACATGGGGGAATGCCAGCTGAACCAGCTGCGACTCTCCGATGCTACGTTCCGTAGTTCGCAAGGAAAAATCAAACCCATCGAATACCAGGAAAAAACGACTGACTCGAGTTTCCAAATGGTGAAATTTGACAGAAGTGGTTTCCAGAGGAGTTATAGCGTGAAAGACACTATTGGAAACGCAGAGACACTGCCAATAGCAAGAAATTCAGGTGGGACACAGAATTACCTGATCGGAGATCCAGGCTATGACAACCCCGACAAGTGAAGCGAGGTCAGCTACATAGAGAACTCGCTCCTGAAAGGCTGGCTCGCGAGTCGCGAAGAAAAAAAGAATCGAGCTTTCCCAGAATGAGACGCGCTTACACGGTCCCTAGTCCGGTGCGTGCGTAGGGTGAGCCCTTATGCGCTAGTCGTGAATTTAACAGGCGGGGATCCTTGGCCCCTCCCAAAAAAAAAAAAAAAAAAAAAAAACATGATGCGGGAGTCGATTGACAAGGCTTGGCAGAGCTTAACCCTCCATTTAAATGGAGAAAAAATTGAAAAGAAAGAAAATAGATAAAAAAAATTAAAAAAAATATTATGTGTTTGAATGAACAAGAAAAAATAAAATAAATAAATAAATAAATACCATAATGATTATAATACAGTTATATATATCATATCTAATGTAATTATTTTTATAAAACTAAATTAAAAGAATAAATTATATTAAAATTAATATCATCAAATTAGTTGTTAAAAAATGTCAATTATGTTTCTATTTTTAAAATTAAATTAATTATATTAAAATCAACATCATCAAATAAAATTATATTAAAATTAGTTATTAAAATTAAATTAGTTTTAAAAAGCTAAAGACATAAATTTTCATTAAGGTCAAAATCTAATTGTTTGTAAAAAATTAATGTAGTTGAAGTGGGCAAAAGAGGGAGAGAAAAGGAAGGATAGATAGTGAAAATGAGAATTTACTCTCAAAATCTCTCCACCCTTAAAGAGAAAAGTTGGGAGGAAAATGCGGTGTGTCCCGCATCTCATTTTCTTCTCAACTTTTCTTTTTTCTCACTTTTTCTTCTTCATCCAAAGAAAAAAAAAATATTTTCTTTTATGTTTTTTCTCCTCTCATATTTTCTCTCCAACCAAACAGCACATAAGAGTAGGGAATCTATGAGAAGTGAGAAACAACACGTACAAGGGCTAAAAAATTCTGAAATAATTCTACAACTTGATCTCAATTACAATTAATTTTTCTGATCTAGTTACTAAAATGATCAAGGGAGGGCTTGTCTTTTGACCCCTTAAATATTTAAAAGATATATTGCCGTTAAACCAGCAAAAATATTTAATCATATATAGCAAAATAATATATATACACACACACACACACACATTTATGTTCTTCTTGTTAGTCATGAACTTATTATTGTTTATATCCAAACAATCACTTCTAAATATTCGAATGTCAGTTGTTCGTGCACAAAAAAAGTTGTAAATTTTTAAAACTTACCTTGTTCAATTTTATTAATAACTTGTTCCTTCAACGTTAACAAATTATTAATATTATGCTAAATATATATATATATATTGTAAATTTATTTTCAAGCATTTTTATGGGTTTTGGTTAATCATTAACATATTATTGTTCACATCTAGACAACACTTATAAATATCCAAATATCGCTTGTTTATACATAAAAAAGTTATAAATTTTAAAAACCCAACATTCTTTCAACATTGACATATTATTAATATTATATTATATATATTTATATATGTTCTAAATTTATTTTTGAAGTTTGGATATTAATAACAACAAGTCTATGACTAACAATGAGTCACATAAAATACTCAAAAACAAGTTATAATATATATTATATGTTGTTATGTGTGATTAAAGATGATTCCTGGTTCAGTGACAATATATCTTTCAAACATCAAAAGAGTCAAGAGATCAAACCCTCCCTTGGCCCTTTTCTTGAATTGACAAGCCATTGACCACTCCTTGGCTAAAACATTCATAACTTATACACCAATTTTACTTCAATTTAAATATGAAACAGAAACTATTTTAACCCTCACTATGGTAAAAAAGTGTCCACTATAGTAATTAAAAGTGAAATGATTAAAGGAAACTTACCATGGTAGAAAAAGGCTTTCCTTACAAGTAGAAATGATTAAAGAAAACTTACTACAGTAGAAAAAGGCTTTCCTTACAAGTAAAACTAATTAAAAAAAAGGATCAACTATGATAATAATAGAATTCAACAATATCAAATGGGCCCACCATGGTAATTTAGAAGAAAACTAAATAAATATTTGATATTAAGAATGGGATCCCAAAAGCTCTTAAGTATCAAGGATCACGATATCATGATAATCACACCAAAAGCATGAAAGCATTATTCCCAAGGGGTGTTTTTGTCCAAAAACAAGTTAAAAGAATGTGAAAGGGTAAAAAGAGGTTTTTCTAGAAAATTTTAACAACAAAGGGACATTTCTAGAGTCTATCATAACACACAATGGTCGTGCCATGACAGATGATATAGAAGCATTCGCCTCATAAACATGCAGTGCATTGTGGCATGAGAAGTATGCGCTGCGACACATTACATAGAAATAGCCACCATTAGCTGTTAAAAACCAATCCTGACTACCAATTTCAAATGCATGTAACTTTTGATACAGTTGTTCAGAATATATGATTTAAATGTTTACATGAAGCTTATTAAGTAATCTAGCGAATGATTTTGGATTTGCACGCAAATTCCACCATATGGAAGTTTTATCTACTAGAACCTCCATTGGTTTCAAAACACATTGTTAAAATTTCTAAAACTTCCAAAACAACCAAAAAAAAAACATTAACTATAACGTAGGACATTTGACCATATCACACACATATAAAATAACACATGCATGTCATAAATTTTTATACCAGTACCCACAATATTCATAGTTAAGTTATAGCCACTCAATACAGTTTGAGATGAATACTAATAGTTGTAAAACATAAAGCAACATGACTTATCATATAATCATCTCATGTTCCAAAATATCTCAAATATCACCACAAAAGTCGAAAACCATTCTTATAGATATCATAATTAAGTATTAAGCCAAAAGAAGAGTCACACACTCACTTTACAAAATAAAATGCCCTAGGTTGGCAAATGTACACATTACATACTAAAATGAGACCCTAACACTAAAAGGTTTTCTAAGCACCAATACCATGTCTTGGGTGCTTTTTTGGCTGAACTCGTCCTTGAAAAATAGTGAACAACGGGAAATAAAACATGAGGGTCCCAATAACCAAACTAAAATGTCATTATGCATAAGCATGCAATTAATCACGTGGATTGCTAAATGAGCAAGTAAAACATCATTTCAATACACATTTATATTTTAAGCTCAAACACAATTATTTTTCACTTACATAGTTATGCATGACATCACTTATACCCTACTTGCACCATGCTCGATACTCTAGCATAACCAGCCAAAGGTAAACTAATTGAAGCCACACATGTGAGGTGTTACCCTTACTAATCCACCACTAATTCCAAAATCAAGGTATATAGGGCTAACCCGATAGAATTATCAAGTTTGTAAAATTTACATAAATAGAATCCTAAGTTTTTAAAACCTAACATGCTAAAAAATTATTTTATAAACAAAAATTAGAAAAAAAAATATGTGTATGGAAGCATATATATCATACAAGGTAAGATAACATTAAATTAGGGTCAAAAGAGCAAAAGTAGTGATTCTGCCACTACAAGCATAAAATGTAGGAGCCTGTGGCAATAACATGGCAAATTTTCTGACCAAACTTCTAACGTGCCCTAAATCTTCATTCGACGTTTGATTGAGATGATCTAAGTATCTACACAAAGCTTTCTCCGAATTATAGCTAATGGCACTAGTTTTACATTTAAATCATTTTTCAATCAAAAGTTGGACACCAAAATGCAAACTTACCCATTTATGCTTTTAAAACATGACTAAGGTATCTAAAATCACAACTAAGTGTCGTAAGCTCACAACCATCCCTAAATCATATTCAATAAACTTAATAAGACCTGTGCAACATATCACAACACTCCAATAACATGTACAACACATTTTTAACCTTCAACCCCTAATTTCGTAAAACATAAGGAGGAGAAAATTCTTGCACAAAATCATCCATATTCATCAATAACAACTCAAAATACACTTTATTTTACTTACATAAGTATTTTGACCCTATATAAGGTTTTACAACCATAACTCACTAACCCAGGGCATAAAGTACACAAGTTACACACAATAATAATGCAAGTAACTCAAAATAATAATATGATTCCTAGTTGGCAAATTAACAATATTAATACACATAAAGAACATAATGAGGAATACAAGTAGGATTTACTCTATGATCCTAAACCTCAACACGTTTCCCCTCATCTAGATCCAATGAGCTAAACCTTGAAAATATTGAAGAATGAGGGGTGAGTGTAACCACTCAGTAACCAAGTTCCACCTGATCTATATTGTTGCATATCAATTAAAAGCAAATGCACTTAGTAATAGCACACATATATTTTTCACATACATAACAAACATAATTACGGTCACAATAATAACAACCATATAACTGGGCATTAAACACATATCATCTAATTATGCACATTATAGGGTCACAAAACTAACAATCAAGTGCCCGTAATGCATGCCAGATCACAATAATAACAACCATGTGGCTAGATCTAAATGCATAATCAATGCCAACCTTATACCTTCATGTTACCTTCGACATGAAACTGATGGCTATTGAGTGACTACGTCTATAATATAGACTAACCCAATCTTTCATTTATGAAGAGCTACCAGGTTAAGGTTAACTCACTATACTGTGATTTCCTCTAATATTAATAACCATGGGGTGTCATACTCCTACGCTAGCCTTCTCATGAATCGGTAGAGACTAGTTAGGTTCAAGTCCCTTATAGAACAAGTGGGACAGTCCCAAATCAATCATAGGATAAAGGCTACCTCCTGATTTTAACAGTCGGTGCTAGGGTAAGCTTTCAATTCTAACGGCAAGCCACTAGTACCACGTGGATTTACCAATCTACTCTTCTCTCTAGGCGAACTTTTGCCAATAATCATGCTATGCACAATTTATACATATTATGCAACCTAGTTAACAATTCATCTCATATGAATTTATAAATCCTCACTTACATACTCACTACATTCCACATGTCAATCATCACATTTTCACAATGAACTTCCATCAAACATAATCATTAATCTTATACGTGCATCATGCACAGGGTTCTTCATTTTTCTAAAATGATTTCACACATGCAGAACGTGCATATTATTTATGATTATTCAACACAAATTTC